ATTTATATACTCAGAGAGACTCCATTAGAGTAAACAGATTTTTTTTTTTCCATTTGCAAGTAGCTGTCAAGAAACACAGCTTCTTGGTTCCGGATGAGAACACATTTCTTCTTCATGGTGTGACCTCATTGGGCTTGGACCTGTGCTGGCCCTGTGAATGTTACCATAATCTCTGTCAGGTAAAGCGTGTGTGACAGTCTTATTGTGTCTTTTACAATCTTTCTCCCTCTCTTGCAGAGTTCCCTGAGACCTTGGGAGAAGAAATTGATGAAGACACTTCATTTAGGACTGAGTGTTTCAACACCTTTCACTTTCTGAACACTGTCTAGTTGTGGGTCTCTGTACTCTGTATTAGTTCACATCTACCACAGGAGGAAGTGTTTGATGAAGAGTGAGTGACTGATCTATGAATATAGCAGACTGTTGATGAGTCATTTCATTGCTATGTATGTACCTTTAGCAGAACTACCGAATTCGGCTTTCTGCTATGCCCATGGGCTATGTAGTCTTAGGTTCTTGGCTACCAAGCGGCGTCAGGCATGGGTTCCATCTCATGGAATGGGCTTTAAATTCAGTAAGATATTGCCTGGTTACTTCCATGGTTGTGCCATTACTGTATCAGCATATTATGAATGCAGACCACTGTTGTAGATTGGAGCACTCTTAGTTGGGTTGGTGTTTACCTTTCTTCTCTAGGAGCATACAAAGTACCTTCCATTATCATGAAGAATAGTTAGTGGGGGTGAAGGCTTTAGTTAGGCACCGGCTTGACTTCTCAGTGTTCAATGAGTTGTGTAGCTGTTGTCTTCAGCAATATGACTTTGTCACTCATTTGTGAAGAACAACTAATAGCCTTGGCAATAACCTGGGCTCTTTGGGGGGTTTCCATGGGGGCCTCTCTGGCCAACAACTCAATTGGATTAGTCACATTTCCGGCATTGAAGGTTTCACTTGGTAGCTTAAGATGTCTATCTAGTTGGGGCTTTGCTTTCCCTGTCATTGGTGACTCCATTTAGATATATGTACACACATTAAGAGGCTTCTACTGTAGTAGGTTTGCATATAACATCTCAAATGGGCTTTGCTGTTAGCTGTCTCTTAGTTTCCTCCTTTACCCTTCTCTGTCTTTCCATCTCCATTTAATCCTCCTGCTCAAGTTTCCCCCATCACTCCATATTCTATTTCCTTTTCCTTGGTCAACCTTCTCCTTCTTATTAGTCTCTTACTCAGTACCTCACCTCTATGGCTATACAGATTATTGTATGCCCATCAAAGGCTTAAAAGCACACACCCACATATAACACAATACATTTATCTTTTGAGGTCTGGGTTACTTCACCCAGGATTTCTTTTTCTAGCTGTATGATCTTACCTGTAAATTTTGTGATTTCATTTTTAACAGCAGAGTAGTATTCCATTGTGTAAATGTATTACAGTTTCATTATCAAGCTATTTTGAACAGAGCAGGAATGGACATAGAAGAGTAAGTGTCTCTGTAGAATGTAGAATTCTTAGGTATTTGCAGTGAGAGATATTTAAATTTCCAACCCCAATATGACTGGTCAGTGAAAACACAACTCAGTAATTATGAATATAGTCTGTAAGCCTAGATTGGGCAGATACCCCTACAGGTATATGCCTAAGAGCAGTATGTATAAAACTAACTTTTATTCACTAGATGTAATTGTTGTCTTGGAGGCTTACTGCTGAATAAGCTTACCCCTTCTGGTTCTTTCTGAACTCTGGCTGGTTCAAAATAGCTGTTCTGGCTCAACCACCTCTCCAAGCTGACTGAATCAAACTGGCTTCTCACTGAATTGTTCTGCTTGGAAAAAATAACTCTGGCAATTTGCTCTAAATTTTTGGTTCCTTCTCATTCTGTGGCTCGCTTTGTCTTCACCTGCAACCTGTCTTTATAAAACTGCCTCCTTAACCTCTCCATCAGTATTCTTCACTCCCTCTCCTTCACTCCCTCTCCCTTACTCCCTCTTTATGAGTTGTCTTAAGTCACCTCTTTCCTGCCTGTTCCTGTTAAGAGTTGGGTGTATCCTATCTCTGACTCGTCCTGGTAAATCTGTTTCTGATTTGTCACTTTGTCTGCTCCTCAATTAAACATCACTTTCAAACATGGCAGCTTCCTTCTACAAACAAACCTGAACTTCACTGTTAGGGATTAAAGGTGTGTACTAACAAGAGTATGCTTATATTCCAGCATGATCACACTGTAATCCAGAGCATGATTGCATTCCAGCTAGATCACACATATCTAGAAAGACGTTTGGATACGATTCCTTGCCACAGCAATCATGCCGCGGGATTAAAATTTCTCTACAGGTATGGCTGAACCTTGAGGTAGATATGTTTCCCAATTTCTGAGGAACACTGCCCTTCCATAGTGGCTGTACATGTATGCACTCCCAACCAGCAATGGATAAGTGTTCCCCATCCTTGCCAACATGAGCTATCATTTGTTAATCTTGGCCATTCTGCCTTGTATAAAACTAAATTTCCAAGTATTTTAAATTTGAATTTCTGTGATGATTAAGGATGTTGAACATTATTAAAGTGTTTTCAGAATTAAACTGTTTAATTCTGTATGCCACTTTTAACTGGGTTGTTTTGTGATGTCTGAGATTTTGCTTGTTTTTTTTTTTAAATTCTTTATAACAGTATTTTAGATATTCACTGTCAGTTTTCCCACATTTCTTGCTTTATTTCTTGTACCTTTGGTTGCTGTTGATGGATTTCAATGTCTTTGGTTGAAAACAGGTTGAAAATATTTGTATTAATACATTGATGTAACTTTTGGAAAATATTAGTTTTTGTTTATTTTCTTCTATAATTTCAATTAAATGAATGCTACTTGTTGTCTTTGCATTTTTCCGTCTGCCAGGACAACCAGTTTGTGCAAGTCATTTGCATGTCTGTTTACTAACTTTATGTTTTGCTATGTCTAGCCTAAAACTAAAGGTAGTTTCTATCATTTTTTAGGTCTAGAATGTGCATTTAATTCATTCTCATAAAATTCACATTTTGATTATTCTTGTAACTCTTTTTCTGCTAACTCCAGTAGGAAAGAATTATGTCTTTTTATTCGCCTGGTGACAATTCGCCTCCCCCGCCCCACACTCTATCTTTGGATAACTAGACTCAGAAATCAGGGAAAATTGGAAGAGGTAACTCTGTTTAGTTATCTTCATTAAAGGTCTCCCTCTCTTTTTAAGACTTTGTCACCAAAGCAAAAGGCTAAAATGTAATATAGTTCAGTCTACCTTTCCTGCCAAACTCAATCTGTGGTAGGGCAGAGCTCAGACTATATCTGATAGAAATATCAACCTAATTTAACAAGCAACACAAAAAGGTCAGCAGCTTGTCTCTAGTAGCAGGTCGTCTCTGCAAATAATGTGTCAAATATATATAGTGTATATATTTTATACAGAGCTCACGAATGTTCCTAAAGAAAACTAGTACCCAAAGTTAGCTCTTCTAGGAAAGCCTCTTCTTCTACCTAGATTCTAATATTTGTGACCCTCATTACTTTCACAGGTCTTCAATGTATTCTTCCAATATGCCCCCTTTCATCTGTAACTGTGAATATGTTCCTCTGAACCAGATTCACCTTTTGGATATTGATTTTTTAATGATGTGTTAAGATGTTCAAAGAACTTACCACTTTGGAACTTAGTGATTTCCTTTCATTTATATTATAGGTGGCCATACAAACATTCCTCATGGATATCCTTTATTACTCAACTGGTAGTTTCCTTTTCCCTCATTCACTGTGGCCTTGAAACTTACTGTCAGGCAAACTGTTACAGCAGCTTGCCCTTGGTTCATATTTTCCTGATCATGCTCTCTTATTTCCTCAAATGTATTTTATAAGCAGACTGCTGGACCTTTGTGTTTTTAATTAAACAATCATTCAAAGATTAAATATTGATAAAATGAAAAATAATCAATCCTTTAGTAATTAATATATATATATATGTATATATGTGTGTGTGTGTGTGTGTGTGTATGTTGCTACATAAGCCAATAGACTTTAACATATTGTAGCTTTTTGTTTCCCCATCTCCCCATTATGGTATACACACACACACACACACACACACACACACACACACACACCCCTCTACCTACCATATTCATAGTCTTATGTGGTTTAGTTAGCCACTTTTTGGATAATCCAAACCTAGTGTATAAAAAAGATGAAGGTTATTGAATTCCAATTACTCAAGTCTTTAAGAAAGGATAAATTACAATGATTTTTGAGATCTACTTCATTCAAAGCAGAAGTAGAAAGGCACCAAATTCTTATAGAACGTAAATTCTTTTTGATGGGAAATATCTACTTCACTGACATAAACAGACATTTTTGATGAAATGTGTTTTAAAGAATTTGCCTGAGACAAACTCTTCAGACTTTTTCGAATGTCTTTGGCTACGTCCCTGACAGCAATAAAGGAGTAAGACAGTATAAGAATCCAATTTTAAGCTTAGTTTTCATTTTAACTTATTCCAGAATTATCTGTAGGTTATCTATGTATAAACATTAGTGCTAAATCTTGCTGTTATGACCATCACTAACAAATATTCTAGCATGAACATAAGTCAGGTTGTATTTACCCCATTAAAAGAGCTAACATTTTATGTTTAAACAACTAAACTTATATACTAAGTACTGAAAATGTTTCTGTGATTTTAAGTATACCAACTCTTTAAAAAACATGAAGAAATAAAATAATTTACCCTAAATTATAGTAAGGGTGATAACTTGGATTTGAACCTGGAGAGATGCAGCAGTAAACTTTATATACAATTTCAAGTTTGAGTTTTCTAATATTTGAAAATATAGCATTATCAGGGATTATAATGTTTGACCTGCTAGTCACAGGTCATTTCTAACAAATTACATGTCAGCTCATTGATTTTTTTTTCTGTAGATAGACCTGTTATACATGAAACTTTGCATTTCATTTTAACATCAAAAGACAATCACGTTTAAAGTTTTCAAAAGTAACAATTTAATAATGAATATTTAGAAATGTGATACACACAAACAGCATAGTAATATAAAAATGCATACAATTTTAAACTACTTTTTAACGAACCCTTAATATGGACAGGTGACAAGAACTTTAACAGTTACTGGATATTTGGGGGGCTCATTTTAAATATCATTTGGCCATGCAAATAAAAAAATAAATATGACAAATATATGGATTTTTGAAGTATAAATTGACATACAAATCTATATATTCTTAATAATTTTCATTAAAGCATCTTTGAAGCATTCTATAACATGAAGTTGAAAACTCAAATGTAAAGAAAGGCATGATGTTTTATTAGATTGTGTAATTCACATACCAAAATACAGAAGAGTACATAAAATACATAAAATGTTAAACAAGGTGATATATTTACCAATTTATTGTCTACGTCATTGACGTCAGAAAACCACACGCTGGGACTGGGCAAGGATGTACATGCCAGTATTCCCAGGCCCACAGGGAGCTGGGACAGGATCACTTGAGCCTTTGAGTTCAAAGCCTGTTTGGGTAACATTATAAGGCCTAACCTCAAAGAGGAGGGTTGGTGAGTAGGGCTATTCAATAGAAAAATTTGAAAATTCCCAATTTTAAATGTTAACAGGGAAACAAAAACTACAGTAGCAATTTAGAATTTAACTCCATTTTTTGAGGAGTAGTGAAGGAGAAATGAACATGGTTCCTTGAAGATTGTCAAAGCTTTGCTAGAACTCACGATAAGTAGGTTTGTAAAATGTTGAAAATTAAACCTACATCCTTTTATCTACACACAATCCTGTGACATGTCTTTTTTTTTTTTTTTTTTAATTTAGATACCCAAAGTGCTAAACCATGAGACAGTAAACTGGGCTTAAAATGATTACGTTCTCATTTCTTCAAAAAGACAGCTCTGAGGCAGCTGGGGATACAGATATATCTTCTCATCTGAATAGTTTCAATAAAATTTCATGCACTTAAGAAATATTAATTTGACCATAAGCAAGGTTGATAGAATTTACTATTTATATTTTCAATAGAATATATTCTTTAGTGGGATTTAAGCCATGAAAACTTAATTGGGTTGTATTACTACCTTCCACATTTAACGCAGGAGTGAAACAGGACCTCTCCTGAACTAACACAGAGCAGCAGCCATGAACTCTAACTACAGGTGAGAATCACTACTAACACAGAACAGTAGCCCTGAACTCTAACAACAGATGCGAATCACTCAGAGGTTCTGGAAAGACTGAAGCATGATTCAATTTCAGGAACGCTCCCATATTATTCTACTATGAAACGAGGTTGGGTATCATTGATTGGTAATAATTAATAATTGCTATTCAAGATGGATTTGATTTAAATAAATTAAAATTCAAGTATGAGTACTTTCTTTCTGACAGACATTATTATGAGTGCTAATAAAAGATTTTTTATATAAAAATTATTGGATATTAATATTTATCCTAATCACTTGACTAGCTATATAAATTTACTAAAATAGTCTTCAAACTTTTATTATGTTTGCTATCATAAAAGGTTTCCTTTGACTTTACTTACTGAGCTGTTCCTCCACTTAGAATTTTAATTGTAGTGATTATCAGCAAAAACTTTTCTAGAGATATACAGAGAGAACAGTAATTTCATCTTCAAGTTATAGTACATGAGGTATTCTCCACTCCATATCTGAAGTCACAAAGATACACTCTAAAAACTGAAACAAGATTCTGCTTTGATGGTTACCAAAATCTCTTGGGTCAAGAACCAACACCCACTGGCTTTAGTGCTAGAACTAAATTATCTTTAAAAAAAAAAAATCTATGTCAGGTCCTCTGGGAAACTAAAAGGAATGGGTCTTTAATGCAGAACAGGTTTCTTGTGACCTATTTATAAAAGATTTCTTAGAAAACATTACAGAAGGATGGTTTCTAAGATATAACTATAGATTAGTTAACTCAAGGGAACAATTTAAACTAAAAGTTTAAAATTTCTATGAAAGATCAGTAGTTAAATAAATACTTAATAAAATATATACCATAAGAGGAATTTAGTGTTTAAATGTCACATTGTGTTACCTTCAGTTAAACAAAACTGACTGTAGTGGCTTAGATATCTAAGAAAGGTTTAAGTATGAGTTTGGAAACAGGAAACTGATTTTAAGACCAGAGAAACGAAGATGAAAGAGATTACTATACTTACTCTAAAGCTTACAGAAAGAATGATTGGGATTTTTCTGCCAAGAAGCGGAAGACTTTGGGGAGCAAGTGTCAATAAGTAGTCATGGTTACGTAGCTTATGTCAGTATCTTCTCAGTGTGAGAGAGAGAGACTACAGTATTAGTGAGCACCACTAGGAGTGTGTATGTGTAACACCTTACCTGCTTAATGCTTTCATTTGAGAGTGAAGGAAAAAATGCATTCCTAAGCTAACAAGTCATCTATGTGATGTATGATTTACTTTAAAATGTTTTTTCTACCATTTCTTCTAAATCCCAATCAAAGAACACATAAAGAGAACACTATTCATTTGCAGTTCAATGTCCCTTGGTTTATGATAATTACTGAAGAAAAAAGAAGGTCTTCAATGAGTATCAGTCCATTCTTGGATCCGAAGAGGTAAAAAAAAAAAAATGAAAAAAGTTAAGAAATGGGAATTCACAAACTCCAGTACATTCTGGATTTATCTATAAGGGTTCATCTTTGACACCCCATATTGTTTCAATTCATATTAGTAGAAAGACTTACCAGTACTTCCCAACCCTTTGTTTTCTATAATAAACCCACACCTTTTTCTTTCTATAATAAAAGTTTCAAGTTGTGACCTGGAATTTGTGATTTCTCCTTTAGTCATCCAAATTAGAATTGGTGTCCTATCTTATAAACCATACATCCTGGGACAGATAGGTCTTCAATGAAACTCTCATTTGGATCCTATATAGAGGATCTTATGCAGTTTCTGAAGAATCAGTATATATTCTTGACATTTTCAGTCTCCAGTACAAGCAAACACATGATGTACACTGAAGGTCTTAGAAACACTGTTACATGACACAGAATGAGTATTATTCTCCATTTAAAATACGTTCAATCTCTTCCAGCCTTTTCAAAGCAGCAACTCTTTTCTTCTCAATTTCTTTGATGTCTTTTGTTGTTTTATGTGGGGTATCTTGGTCACCATTTTCTGTTGATTGCTGGTTGGATTTAGAGTTTCTTTTATCATTTGTTTTTATGATTAGCGCTGGTCTGGATTCACTGCTGATTTCTTTTACATCCTCAGAAGGGATTTCATCTCTTTTTTCTGTAATTGAAGTCTTATCAACTGGGGACAGTGGCTGCTCCATAATACCAGAAGAGGAGATTTTATCCCTGACTATACTCAGATGGCGTTGAATATATTCCTCATGAGGTGCTAATGCCAATGTTTCAACTAGGCATTTCTCAGCCTTTAGTAACTCCTTCTCCTCAAAGTACACGACACACAGATTGTGTTTTCCTTGCACATTGGTTGGATCCATTTCCAGTATCTTTTCAAAACATTTTTTAGCTCCAGGTATATCCTTCTTTTGGTTCATCAGAATGTCTCCTTTTAAAATGAGACCCTTGGTATGGTCAGGATAGTACCTGAGCAGCTCTTCTAAGATTGGCAATGCCTTTAACTCCTTAGCAGTCTGTGAGTACAGGAGTGCCAGGTTAAACAAAGCACTTCTGAAGTCAGGTTGCAATTTGATAGCTTTCTTCATCCAAGTCTCAGCTTCAGAATCCTTTTTGTCATCCATGGCAAGCATTCCCAAATTGAAATAGCCATTAGCATCTTGTGGCTCTTCATTTATGTAATTTAGAAGCCGTTTTCTAGCTTCAGGTCTGAGTTTAACTTCACCTAAAAGTAATTTTATTTAAAGGAGATAAATTATCAATGAGTGAACCATTCAGGTATTTTGTTAGATTACAAAACACAGCAATAAAGCAACTTATTTTTATATATAAATTAAAATATAGAAAAACAAAATAGGGAAAACAATGTGACTGAAACACTCAAATGATAAATTCATTTCCTTTTCAATCAATACTCCAGATGCCAAGAGAAGAAAATTCTTTAATTTGGAATCTAATAAGGCATCAGAGAAGTGTCTGACAAAGGATTTCCAAAGATCTGTATTCAAGCACAGCTGTGTTAGTACTTTGTATTTATATACCAAACAAGTTCTTTAACTTCTCTGGATTAATTTACTGAATTTTCTAATAATTATTGGACATGTGTATGTGTGTATATATGTATGTATGTATATATTTATGTGTATGTACATATATATATGTTGGATAATGAGCAATTTTTATCATTATTTAGAAAAGAAATACATTTAACACATAATAGAATAAAGAGGATATTTACAACATAAAAATTAATATTATAAATAATTTATGCTGTCTTGTGAAGGAAAATATTCCCACATAAAATATGGTTTAAAGACACTACTACAATTAAATTAGTCTACTAAATTATAGAAAGTACTAGAAATTATAATAATAGCTGAAAAACAAACTAAACAAAGATACGCGAAGAATTTTCTTTTAAGTCACAGTAAACATGAGATTAAAAATATAATAATGCTCTGGGAGCTTTAAACATAGTTACAATTTTTTTTCATAATTTCTGTAGTATTTAGACTTCATATTTATTATACAAGAAGTTTTATTGTGTTTATATGAATAAAGTGGTATTATATGCTAGTTAGGTACTGGCTGATGGTTTCTGAAAAGTTAGTTTCACTATACTCTAGAAAAATGTGCAAGTAAAACTGTCACATATGCCCCTTCATCTCACTTGAAAGGACTTTAGATATTCTTCTTTTTATAAGTTGAGTTCTGTACATTATTTTATAATAGACAGCCAGTCCACAATATACTTATTATAGGTTTTGCACTATTTTAATTGATTAAATAGAGACCTATTTTCAGGAAACTTACCTGACTCCTGCATTAAAATAGCAGAGTTGAACAGCGCTAGCTTATGTTTGGGGTTTAGTTCCAAAGCCCGATTAAAGTTCTTCAGAGCTTCATTTGGTTCTTTAAGTTCAATATAAACAATTGCCAAGTTGTACCACAGATCTGCATTATTTCTGTCCAGCTCTAGTGCTTTAAGATATGCTTCTTTTGCTCTGAGAGGCTTATTCATTTTCAAAAGCAACTCTCCCCTGTGGGAAGCAGACAGACAAGGTTTACCTTATTATCTTAGGATGCCACATCATAAATACCTCTTTAGACAAAAACAGTGTCTTTAAAAAAATCACTTTCTGAAACTATCCTCAAGTCTGAACTCCATTTCAGCAAATCTAGCTGCACATGCTTTCAGATACTATAAAAGAAAAACACATGCCTGACTGGACAGTAATGAGAGCAGTCAGAAAGGACGACAGAGGGAAAGTGCTCAAGAATGAGTCTGTAAAAAAGACAGAGTGCTAGGGGACATAAGCGGCTAATTACGGTGGCAGATTAGTAAATCAGATGATACCACTGGAACACTGAGAAAAAAATGCCGTTGTTACTGGGAGTTTGTCGTCTTTAAATCTGATATAAGTCTCACTGTACTAATTAGCCAAGACATTTTGAAATGTGAAATCTATACATATATTAACTCAGTCCCCTTCAAAGTATTCTTACATAATGGCTATCCAAAAACCAGATAGACAGACAGACAGAGACAGATGAATGAATGAATGAATGAATGAATGAATGAACTGAATTTCCAAATGTTTCGTTAAGAGAGCCCTTGTACCACCTACAGGTAGCTTTCAGGAACACACTAGAACCATGCAGCTTAAAAACCTTTACTATCTTTCCATATGGTTCCACTTTGAGTTTGAGAACTTAAAAAAAGTAATTTTGCTTAAAATTAGTGCTTATTTTTGCTAAGAATAATACAACATCTTGTAGACATGAGACCAAGGTTTTAATGCAGACTACCAAAGGCTTCATCAATAATGTAGTACGAACTGACTCCTGGGTGAGGAAAAAACAAAAAGACAATATCCATTTTAGGAATAGATTTTAATCTCAAAAAACTAAGTTCAGAATATTCTTTCCTCAGAGAAACAGTGTTATAAATTATAAGTTTCATGCTCAATATATAAAAGACAGTTTAACATGCAATGACCCTTAAGCATGAAAATGATAATGTTTATATGGAATAAGGGGCTACTTATTGAACTCCTTCAAACAGAACCTACATCAGCTACTGTAACGACTCCCTTGCCAGTTGCAACTGACTTAAGTGTGACTGTCTGTCTACTGCAAGATACACCCTTCATGCACATAGCAGTCAAGGAAGAACATTAAAAGAACACCATGGCAATTCAGTTGAAACATACATGCAGATATAGCTTCAATTTTACCGAGGTAACTCTGAAGTGACGATACCTGCTAATGTAAGCCTGCTTGAAGTCTGGCCTCATGCTGATTGCCTGTCGGTAGAGTTGATCCGCTTCTTCCAGGCGGGACTCGTTTGCTCGAATAAGGTTGGCCAGATTGATGTAAACATTTAGGTGATTAGGGGCAATTCTGGCTGCATATTTTTTACCAGGAATAATCTGTTTAAGAGGAAAGCATGCTTGTGTATTTGATAGTACAGTAGCAAATAAAAATAACAACAAAGTTTTCTGAGTGACTTATTTCAAGGGACATGGAACCTAAGATTTTGGTGAAAGTTTTACTAATAAAACAAATTAAATCATAAAAATGTAAAAAGCAAGCAGGGCAAGAATGGTGGCACATGTCTTTAATGTGAGCATGATAGAAGCAAATGGAGTTCTGGGAGTTGGAGGCCATCTTATTTACATAGAGAGCATGCCAAAGAACACACATGCGCACACACATGTACACAGAAGCAAACACTTACAAGCATCTGAAAATATTAATAGAATTTTTGACAGTGAAAGACATATATATTGGTTTCATTTATTCCAGCTATGAATTATTTCTGGGTTTTTGTTTACATTTATCTTTGTATTAAGTCAGATAAACCAGAAGTTTTAGAGATCAATGGTTTGTAGTCTACAACACAAGAAAATAATTCATTACAGTCTGTGTATACACTTTGTTAGCTCTAGTGCGGTCAAGAAAATCATTTATTTCTTGGCTGTAATAGTAGGGCAGCTAGTTTTATTTTAGAGTCGTATATCAACCTACTTATTTATTATGGTTGTAAAATAAAATGCTCTAACTGATAATTCAAGGTAGTTGTTATACATAATACAGATATGGATCTTTGGAACTACATATCCAATGATCTTTTACCTGTATCACTGCATTAGTCGGTCTGCAGCAGAGGTGCAGTCACTGTTTTCTAACTTCTTTTCATTGCTCTGATAGTAGTTAAGTTTGAACTTGCTATTTAAAGTACATGAATTAAAGTCTCTTCATTTAGCCATTTTTGGTAATTTATAATCAGCATCAGATATTTATGTTCTAAGAGTCAGCATTTACATATTAACTATAAAAAACCTTTTTAAGAAACTGTTTGAACAAGCAATTATGCCTAATCAGGGACAAAAGGCTGGGGCGGGATAGACTACTGCTTTATGCCAATGAGTTAGGTATGTCTTTTCATATGGACACAGTAAAGGAGACAACTTACCTGAGGCATTAGTGATTTAGCCAACATGTATGACTCTTCAGCTTCTTTAGTTCTGTTTAAGTTTTTATAAGTTCTTCCTACATTCATGTGGGCACCAATGTCATCTAAAACAAAACAGAATACTTAATGGCAAATACACCAGGCATTACTCAGTGCAACTGCTGGAAGGCAGGTTTTCAGGGACAAGCAAAAGTGTGTGAAGAGGAGGGCTGGCCCAGCTTTCCGGGAAGTTCTAAAACAACTTGTCTTAACTTACAACTGCCAGGACTGACGAACACAACAAAAAGTACTTAGAGCAGCATAAGGACAGAATGCACACAACATGTGAAACTTCCTGACTGCATCTTTGAGGGTGTTGGACAAGAGAGAGGCAATGGTGTGCTTCACATTTTACATCAGACTATGCACAGCTCGTTTCTACTTCCTTAATCTCACAGCTTGGAAATTACTAAAAACACCGCTCAACTTTACACCTGAAAATGACTACGGTTAATTCCTATAATTAGAACATGGGTTTAAATAACAAATACGTGCCTGGGTAGAATTATTACTACGAAATGAAAAAACTTGTATTTAAGAAAAAAATGCGATTATGATTAGAGATGAGTGACAGGTTCATAGGCTGACATAAGAAGTTGTGGTCACTCTCTTTTAAATTCTTTACATTCTTATATAACTTATTTAAAGAATTTTAAAGTTAAGTTAAATTAGAATGTCAAGAATTTATATCTCATCTCCTGATATGGAAAATAAAATATACAGTAAATTTAGGATGAGAATAACTATGCATTCTTAAGAAAGATCTTTGAAAATTATTTCAAAGGTTTAGAATAAAGATAAAAGGAAGGGTAGATCTTAAATCAGAGTCTTTATACAACATCAGTATCTAGTGGATCTGGCAGGGTTTAGTTATGACTACCTGCCTGCAATACTGAGGATTTGCCACAGTGAACAGTGGTTCTCTGAGCCACTCCCAGGACATAGAGGGGACAGACTTATGTATCGTGGCCATTCCCCCAGAAGGAGAGCAATAGTCTGAAGATCTTGCTATGGGATGCTCTTTATGTTTCAACAGAGTGCAAGCATAAAACTGTCAAAGGAGTAAGTTTTGGGAACTAAATGTTCCTAACAACTTTGCTTCTAATAATCCTGAACTACAAATAATGCAACAGTCCATGAGCAGACAAATGGCTGTGCAAAGCGGTGTATCCACATGAAGAAGTGCTAGTCAGCTACACAAAAGTAGTTGTTTTCAGAACTCATGAACAACACTGATGAGCAACAACAACAAAAAATCATATACAACAAGATATTCAGAAAAAACTGAGTCCATAGAGGATGAGTCTCTTTATGTACAATTTTAGAAGAGTAAAGAAATATATGGTAACTGAAAGCAGTTCTATTTTATTTGGTGGAGAGGACTGTAAAGAGGTAGAAAGATTTGGGAAACAGATGGATATTTTCCCCGTTTGGTGGTAATGGATTTACATGCACAGATACATGAGCACTTAGCTTTCTAAATGGTCTCCACTTCCTACTGTGTTTGCATAGCCAGTGGTCCCAAAATTACCTTCAATGATTCATACTTACAAGGAATCTGATCTCACTTTATTCTCTGCCAAATGATAATTTCTCAAAAGCCATTTCTAGCCATTACTTCTAATCTCTATGCTTTTTATTTTTATATTTTAACTATAATTTCAAGTACTTAAAAAGACATGACTACACACATACATACATTTTTGGTTGCGTATTTATAAGGAACTTTTATGAATCTTTTATACCTTACAGCAAATGTATTTCTCTGGTATATTTTGACTTAGTTAATCAAGAAAACTAAGGACCCTAAAAAAAAAAAAAGAAATGTATTTCTATTTATATTAGTGATTTAAAAAGCAAACAGCAGGTAATACAACGTTTTTTTTCCTGTTATTCATCTGTTATCAGTTTATATGACCAACTAAAATTATCAAATGTTAGAAAGATCCGAGTAATTTTTAAACTACATTTCCAATGTCTCAAGGCAATAGTAAACCTGTTCTACTCACTGCTGATTTTTAGCAGCTAAAGCAGTACCTGACACATGGCGAAGTTTTCAATGTACAGGTAATGAATAAATCTATTATTCTCCTTTTACCCTTTCTCTCTGGTGTAATCTGGTTCTGGACTGTCATTCAAAGGTCATGTATACAGGTTCTATGCTCTTGTGAAGTGGTGGAACCTTTAAGAGATGACTAGTGGTAGGAAGTTAGGTCATTGTAGGTATGCCATAATGAAAATATTTGATCTCAGGCATTTTCCTGCAGCTTTGCTTTCTGGCTGTCATGAGGTGAGAAACCTTCTGCTGTAATGCTGTCATATGAGTACTGCCTACCCAAAGGCTCAAAACGGTGGATCAAGTCACCTAAAGCTTTCCTTGTCTCATTTTAAGTTGATTATCTCGATATTTAATATAGTAATGGCACACATAAGTATTCACTGTATCCCTCCGTTGTACATTATCTCCTTGTTCCCTATGGCATTAACATACTCACATACATTGTTTAAAGTTACTTACTATGTTACCACGGGCTAGACACTGTTTTTATAAGTTTCTATTGAGTATTTAACCTATATAAAAAGATATTTGATTACTTTTTAAAATATATGGAACATTTGTGATTAGATTCATTTTAATATAAAGTGCATTTGATACCAGGTTCTAAGCATTCCCATTATGTAATGTAGGTTATCCTCATTTCTAAAAAAAAAAAAAAAGTTTAACATACAAAAATATTCTTAATCTGCTAAGAATCTCCTAACCTAAAATTTTTAATCTTTCTGTCCACCTCCTGAGTGCTGTTTTTACAGGACCATGGTACCATAAGTGTTTTAGAGTCTAACCTTTTAACCATAAAACAACTGCCTCTTTTAGCTTACTCTGGCCATTCTCTTACTTTCTACAATATCTAGTAATACCATATTACAACATGTCATCCCGCATGCCAAGTGACACTAAAAACATCGCTAGATAGCAAGAAGTCAAAAAGCACAACATAAATGCTATCCTCAGAGTTTCCAAGTTCATGTGCCTCAAGCAAAAGAAACTATAAGAATGTTGATTATCTTCCTAGCCTATGGTTTATTAAAACTTACTTTTGAACATGTTGATAGTGAAGTCATATTCAGATACTGGGTATACTTGAAATAGAATAAGTGAAAACTGAGGGTGTGCTACTTAGGCTAAGTGTTTACATCTGCAACATTCACCATTCACACAAGAAAACTGACCACTCATAAATACAGGTCATACATGTACTTGATTTAGTCTTTACAAAAATGCTGAGACAGAAACCACCATTCCAACATAGAAGTGAGGTAAGAGTGAGCAGGCTTAAATCTTATATGATTTCTGATATGAAAGTGATAACTGAAGCTGGCAAGATGGCTCGTTTGTAATGGTGCCAAGCCTGGCAACCTCAATTCATTCCCCTGGACTCAATAGACTGAAGGAGAGAACTGATTCTAATTGTCCTGTGACTGTCACAAGCACATAGCACGTAGCACATAGCATACACATGCAGATGCACGCACATGTGCGCACACACACACACACACACACACACAATGCAACAAAAATTTAAAATTACACAAATTCTAGAATGAAAATCTAAGAGTAAAGTAAATGAGAATGACTCCATTTAGTGAACTTGTTTGCATACAGGACTAATGAGATGAGGAAGTGTAAACGAGAATCGAAGTCTATGCTGCCGTAAGGAAGCCCACAGTTTAAATGAACTACTATTTCAAAGGACCTGAATTATAAGTACATATGTATCTCACAGGAAAGATATAAACAGTGCTTTTACTCAGAAGGGAAGATGCTTGGGAGAGAGGCCATGAGGCTGGTCATAAAAGACAACTAGTGTAGACAACAAGGTATGTTAAGGTCGAAGACAGATGGGAGGAGAAAACTACATTGTAGGCTCAAGAAAATATGTAAACCAAAGAGGGGTTGTAGGACACATACTCCATATTCCAAGTCAAACCAGACTATGTGAAAACCTAAGGAAGGCAGATTAGCAAGTTACGTTTCTATAACCATCTTTTCACCCTGTTCTAACTGAATTTGGTTTTGTCTTAATGACACAGTAACTGTCCTTCTAAGTGTGGTGACTATGACCATTTCTTTTCTTTTTTCTTTTCTGAGAACATATTTAACTTAGCATCCAAATACAAATGATAAACAATGTTTTATATACCCAGTTTCTACATTTAACAAAACCAAAGAATTAAATTTTACAGGTTTTTATTTTTAATATCCTACATCAAACTCCACTTCCCCTACATGAGAACTTAGAAGCCTATTTACCCTTTGAAGTTATAAATAAGATTTTTTTGCTTTCCCATTCCCTGTTTGGATAGTATATCTCAGGCTCATGGTGCAGAAGTTACATAGATTACTAATGTCAAGCAAATTATGTGGTAATTGGAAACCAGGGCATACATTTTAAAATAGAATGATGGCAGGTTGTAACATGCTCTCAGAGCAATACAAGGCAAGCAATGGTTATAGATCAGTATAAAGGCCAATTTTTTATGGCAGTGATGGCCTTATTAAGTAAGGAGTCACCATTTGAGGCAACCTTAAATGATGTAGCTGGGTCCTATCAGCAGAGAATAAAGTGTAGAGGAGTACTAAGGACTAACTGGGCTTGATCCATCCTAGGTACAGAAAAGTATCACAACTGTGGCAAGTAGTCTCTAGGTGGAGGAGATACTACAGCAAAGAGCCCCCCTGGACAGCTGCTCTACCTGATTTCTAGTCACAGATTTTTTTTTTTTTGTATTTACAAATACCTTGGTCATATAGCTAGGCTCTACTCTGTGTAGATCATAACTAATGATAATCCATTCATGTTAACTTACATTCTGCCACCTGGGTGGTTACCAGTGCTCAGGCACCATGTGGATTACGACCATTTCTTACCCTATGCAAATTGGGCCTGGAGGAAGGGTAGGTGTTACCCTTAACCTCTGTTTTTCATTCCAGACAATTCTCAGTGCTTTAAAAAAAATCACTCCACTCTGATGATCATTAAGCTGTTTATCTACTTCTATTTTTACAGCTACTTATATCTGACTCACAGATCCTGGATCTCTTGGGCTCTAACATCATACTTCTAAAACTCTCTAATTTCAGCAGTATACATACATGTAACTGTTTCTGTGAGACAGGGTCTCTCTATATAGCCTTAGCCATCCTAGAACTTACTAAGTAGGTAGATCAAGCTTGTTTTAAACTCAGAGATCTACCTGCCTCTGACTTCGAAGTGCCAGCACATAGAGAGTGTGCCACCACACTGAACATATACATGTTGTTTTCTAATACTGTGGCCTTGATGTTCTTTCTTTCAATAAACCACCTCTTTTCTACCTTAACACTCAGTTCAAAGGTCACAATTTTACAAAATAGGAAAAAGTAAGGCAGTGCCCACTACTGCGCCATTTGTGGAACAGTTAAAATACGGGGATTGTTCCACTTGTATCTGAATAGAATGATGACATCTGGCGGTACTGGTAGCTGGATACAACCTTTGGTGAAATAATTCCGCATATTAGAAATGTCAAGAGCACTCTACTAAAAACTACTGCTGTTCCAGTTACATCTACTCAGACACCATCATTTTGTTAGACATATCTGCTGATCTCTCTTTTCACCCAGCCCTTTTGATTCAATTTGTATTATAAATAGTTACTATAATTGACCCCTTAGCCTTTTCTTCCTTAGTAAAACACATCTGAAAAAACTTCTAGTCCTTATTAACAGAGTAATGCACGTCTACAAGATCATTACCTTAGCTGGGAGATAAGAGGAGAAAGCCATTTAACTGTATAAACTGATGAAATTTTCAGTTGTTACTAATCCAGGATGATGTTGACGGTTGGCAACTGTGTAGTTTTCTAGCTGCCTACCTTTGCTTCATGTGGATACATCATATGAGGGCTCACTAGAAATGTACACTTTCAGGTGGTATCTAAATCTGCACCAGAATGGCCAGGAGAACAAGATCTCTAGGTCTCTATGCACATGGAAGGATAGGAGCACTGTCTTACAGGACCATTTTGCCTTCTCTCTTGTTCTCACATCTCAAACGAGTTCTTTCCTTTCCTTTCTACTGGTGATTTTACTTTTCACTGAGGAAACAGAAGCAAACAGAAGGCAACTTCAGGTTACTCCATATTATTCACTCACCTCTTATCCACTGTCCACAGCCTATGTCTGTCTGTTATTACAACTGATTCTAGTCCTAAAGTAAAGGAGCCTGTATAGCAGATGCTGTCTCTCCCCCACAGCTGCATTACTCCTTTTCTCAACTATACTGGATATGCTTGGGAAATGCTTGATTCTCCCGCCTTAAAAGAATCTCTGTCATTCCGGCATCCTTTCGCCTAGCACAAGAGCTTTCAGTTTGCAACACCCTTGACATTTTCTATGGTGTCATCAGTAACTCTTTCTTTACCCCCTTGAACGTAGACTAATTAAAAAACTGGCCCCCTCACTCCATCTAATGTCTATACTGCCACCTACCAATTACAGTGAACAGTGCTTACCTGGCTGAACATGGGTAGCCTGCAAGAAGTATTTCAAAGCTTTCTCAAAGTTCTTTTCATTCTCCAGAGCATGACCCACATTATTCCATAATTTGGCATTGTTTTTATTCACCTTAAACACAAATGAAAACAGAATGAGCTATAATCAGAAAAATCAAAGACAAAAATCCAAAACACTCCAGTTGACAGACATTTGTTTGGTAAACTACTGGGAATGGAATGTTTTATGGAAATATTCCTAGAAATGAGACAAAAGCCTATATAGTCTGCCCTTTCCTCTAAGGTAGTTCTCAACCTTCCTAATGGCGTGACTCTTTAAAAGAGTTCCTCATGTTATGGTGGTCGCTATCCATAAAATTATTTTCATTGCTACTTCATACTTGTAATTTTCTGATTGTTATGAATAAAAATGTAAACATTTGTGCTTTCTTACGGTTTTAGGTGACCTACGTGAAAGGGTCATTCGACCGACCCCTGTTAGGAACACATCTCACTGGCTGAGGACTACTATTTAACATATTAGAAAACCACAGCAGTTTGACTTCATCTATGTATCAAAAATGTTCCAACGGCTTTTCTGATTAGATCACAATCCAACCTACTTGTATTTTGTCTTTGTATTTTGTTGAGGAGAGAGGGATATGAGAATATACTTAAGAGATTGTATTGATGGCTTATTATTGGGTGAGATATATTTAAAACTACTTATGTAGTTTATTATGGAAACAGAAATGCTGAGATTACAGTTGTGAAATCCATCTGTGTGTTTAGAGTTCACACATGGGTGGAGAGCATGATATATACCCAAAAGAGGAGCTGCAGTGAATAGAACCGAAAATGTTAAACAGTGTTCTAAGAATGCAGGCAAGCAAAATTCCTAATAATTATGGCACACCATTAGCATTGAAAATTATGAATTAACAGCGTGGTAGGGATGCTTCACGTATGTATCCATCTAGGAGGGATGGAAAGGTGTGTGGTCAAGAAGAGTCATCCAATCTTACATAGACGCTATATAACGGTATCTCATAGACTACTAGGATGATGCAGATAATTCTAAAGCTAAATAACAGGAAATAAAGAAGTAGTTACAAGGAGGGGCTGGAGAAATGCCTTAGCAGTTTAAAGCATGGACTACTCTCACAGAGAACTTCAGTTTGATTCCTAGCATACACAGCAGGCAGCTATTACCTGCCTGAAACTTTAGCATCAGCAGAATCTAACACCTCTGACCTCAGTGGGCACCTGAATTCACATATGCATACTCATCTGCATACATACATATTTTAAAAAAAGCAGTCAAAGGGAAATGAGTTTAGAGATTTGTAAAGGATAAGATAGGAAGTATTTATGGAAATATTCTATTGATAACTATAAAAATGAGTGTGTATATTTTTTAAATAAAATTCTGCTTACCAGCTCCATTCCCCATAGTGCTGAACCAGTGGCAGTGCTATTCCTTCACACAGTAGGGTGATACTTTTGTGCACATTATCTCACTGAACTAATGATACACTGATTACAGAACTCACTATTTTATATACCATTAGCAACTAAGCTACTAATTAACTGTATGATTTTATGTCCAATCTGATTTATTTTGCTATTAAGCCATTAAAAGGTAACAAAAACATGCACCCTAAGAACTAAGAAAATATGGTTTTATATTTAAATAATTTACCATGTGAACTTCATGTAAATTTAGTATACCATTCAGAAAAGTAAATACATATATAAATACATATATATATACGTATATATATATATACATATATATACATACATATATATGTATACCATTTAGACATATAATTAAGTAGTAACTTAGGGAGTTTGGTTATGGTATATACTATAAAAACAATGTATTACTTCTCAGCTAAAATAGAATCAAAATGTCTGCCTAAAAGTGTGGTAAATACAGTTTTTCAAATATACATTTTCCTGTCCTCTGAATAAAAATACTTTACCTTTAAGGCTGACATAAACAATGTATATTCTGACTCCCAGTCCCAATTTCTATGGAGTGTTTTCAAGGCATGGGTTAGTATCACCATGGACAGACAAACCCACGAGAGTTTTTTCAGTACACTGTTGAAAAGATAAAAACAGGGAAAAATACTGTCTTAATCACCCAAGAGCATTTTTCTTTAGAAGAGATAAGAAATAGGGTAGTTCTAAATTATCATGTTTTAATTCATTCCAGTGACTCTACACATTTAAAGAGCACCCCCAAATTAAATATGAAGATGGCCCACCAACTGACTTTACTTATATTTTATTCTTTGGGATTTGTTACAAAATTCCCACAGGAAGTAAGTCTGAGGCTGCTCAAAACCCTCAACTAAGATGATAAACATTTGTAGAGAGCCTACACAGTTCTCTCATATAGTTTAAGCAATACCCAACAATTATGTAAGAGTTAACACTTTATTGTTAATGTAAATATTAACATTTGTATATTAACAATGTAAATAGTGACATGTAAAAAGTCTACATACTTTCAGTAAAAATCTAAGATTTTCAAAAATATATTGATCTGTAAACCTGTATCATGACCAAAGGGAGAAAGCTGACTCCATATTCTAATGTGTTCATCACTATTTCTAAAGCTGTATTTAAGTTAGTGATTTAAAAACTGATAGAGTTTGAATTGTCACTTTTATTATTTAAGTGTCCTTTGGGTCATTGTTTTCAACTTAATAGTTGAGTTTAGAAAGGGTCAACCTTACTTCTGACACTGTGAAAAGGGTTTTACTTACAAATTATACTACAGGCTCTCCTATTCTTTGAATTGTTTTATTTATACTTTCCAGAACTGCCTGCTAAAACTCTGTTTAACTCTGTTAAAACCTGTGAACAGATGCAAATTACAAAGCTTCAGCCTAACTGCCGACATCTCACTCTTCACTGACAGCGGGATGAGTACTTCAGTCTCTGCTATCTCAGTGTTAATATCCTCAGTCTGTCTGCTTTGCGCCTCTCACATGGTTCAGTTCCTCAGTTCAACAGATCCACCTATGCAGAACAGGGCAGTATGGATCAGATAATATCATCATGGGCAGAATTAAGATGTCAACTGGAATCAACATGTCTGTCTACTAGCTGTGTGACCTTGGGTGATTCAGATCATTTGCATGGGCTTCATTTTCACATCTGCAAACAAGGGCAGTTGTATTAAGATCAAATGAAAAAAATAATTGTAAATGTGTACCATAAATCATCTCTGGTATATAGCAGTCCCTAAAAATAGGCAGTGATTAAAACTATATATACATGGGTAGAAACTCTAAGAAGGGTTTGCTAGATGTGGATCAACATTGAGAAACTAAATAGGAAAATCTACTGAGTATATGTTTGTCAAAAGAGGCTAGATGCGAAATGCTGAAAAAAATTGGAAATATTCAGAATGGATATAACAAGAAAATTCTGAAATAGGATTTACATGAGATAACTAGTTGGGGGATGTTACAGAAACCATGGAAATAATTTTTAAATAACAGCATTGACTGGATATAAGAGAAGCCGATTTTTAAGAGATATAGAGAAGTCAGATATATATCAAAATTTAGTATTGTATCAGTATATTTGACTATTAGAAATTTGCTTTATATGACAATTATATTGATACAGTAAATGTACATAATCTCTATGATTATGAGTTTCTAAGCATTTTAATTGGTAATGCAACAAAAAGTCCCATATACGTGCTAAGCACATTTTATATACACTAAGCACTCAAGATGGCTCACTGCAATTGGGTGAGTGAAGCTTAGTCATTGGTTCTGAGTGTGGAAATGCTCATCTGTAAAAGCTTCAGTAACAGCAGCACTGTTGGCACATGGGTCTGACTTGGGCTGTTGTGTTGGGCTATGTAGAGAGAACTATGTAGAGAGAACACAGATTGAGCAGGTGGTGAAGAGCTTTTCTAACCTGAATTATAGCTATACAGATGGAAAGACTGAAAGTATGGCTTACAGAGCATGCATTTTATAGCCATAAAACAAACTAGTATTTAACTCACCTTTTGTTTGAAATTTTTTGCCATCCATGGGCTACTAAAATACAGAACCCCATGCTAGGAACATATAGTACTCGCTCAGCAACAACAAATCCAACAGGAAAGAACAGGTTTGATGCGGGAATGAACGGTAACACCATTAAACAAAGCGCCTAGAATGAAAAAGATAGCATGTTCAGTTAAACAACACAGATGACAGGCAACACAGGCTTTTATAATTTACTTGGAGTAAATGATTTGTAAACTATTTTAGAAAATACTGTCATGAATAATGAACACAAAGGCGACATACGTGTGGTAATAAACATCAGGATGTAAATCACCAAGATAAGAAGGGAGTTTTTACTTGCTCTATGAGCAATACGACTTTTTCCAAAGGTTGACTACTGAGTTCAAATAGTTAAATTAAAAATTACTTTAAAAATATTTTGAAAAGAGCACATTCAACTTATTAGTAAGCAAAAATATCCAATGAAAAAATGGGCAGAGAAGATATATCAATAACCAAAAGCTATGTAAAGACCCCACATCATCAGAGAAGTACAAATGTAAACGTCAACAGACTCAATCTGAGTCACGATGGCTACTGTCAGAAAGCCAAGTGACCGCAAGTGTTAAGAAGAATGTGGCGGAAACATTACCCAATTCAAACCTAACAGTAGGAACGCAATTAGTAATGCGGGCAATGGTATGGAAATGTCTCAAAATATTAAAAACAGGACTATCGCAATCCAGTGATCCTATTAATAGGCATATAGCCAAAAGAAAGGAAACCCACACACTGTAATGTATCTGCACCTCCACTATTGCGCCATGATTCAGAATAGCTAACGTACGGAACCAACATAGTGATGGGCAGAGCACATCAAGAAAATAGGGCATACAGGAACAAGAAAATCCCATTTAGTCTTAAAAGGAGAAAGAAACTCAAACTGAAGGGCGTTATGTCATATATTATCTATACTCTCAGTTGTGTATGAATGATTAAAAAAAAGTGGTATTAGAAATTGAGAACAGAATGGTATTTACCAGAATGAGGCAGTAAAGTTTGGTAAGATGTTGGTCAGGAACATAAACTTATGTTACATAGGAAGAATGAAATAAAAAGGAGGAGGGGGAAGAAGAGGAAGAGGAGGAAGAGAAAGGGGAGGAGGGGGAGGAGGAGGAGGAGGAGGAGAGGGAGGAGGAAGAGGAGCGAACTTACATATCTAACTTTCCTGCATGTTCCAACAGTAAGGTAAAGAAAATGCTAATAGGTTTTTTAGCAGAACAAAATCAAGAATGTTGGTAACAAACAAAAATGTCGGTTTCTATATAAGAAACTAAATGAAGGAGAGAATGATTTAGATAAGACACCAGACTTCTGGTTCTATAGCTTAGTCATACTTTGTATAACACTCTGCTTTTAAGGATGTTTCTAAATGGTGTTTCTTTCTTTATTTTTTATTTTATGTGTATGGGTGTCTGCCTGTGTGATCGTGTGTGCTGTGTCCACAGAGGGCAGAAGCGGGCATCAGCCCCTTTGGAAATGGAGTTACAAACACTTGGGAACTGCAATGTGGGTGGTGGGAATCGAATCTGGAAGAGCAGCCAGTGCTCTTAACCACTCAGCCATCTCCCTAGCCCCATCTTATAATGCCAACACGGCCTCTATGTTTAACAAGAAGTTTATATTATGTATATAAAAATAAGACTTTCCCTTTAAATCAGTTGCTTTTTTGTTCTTTGAAGGAATCACTAAAATGTTAGCACTGCTTACTGAGAGAAATATAAGGCTAGTCTGAGTTCCTGTTCTCCAGAAAATGGGATGACATGTAGTTTCTTGACTATAAAGCCACCTGCGACTAAGCATATAAATATCATGGGAAGATTTAAGTTTGAGACTTTAGGACTTGTAGCTCTGGACATTTGCTTACTTCCCTGCTCTTCTTTTTCCAGTTGTTTTACAGGACAGGATCTCTTGTAGCCCAGGCTGGCCTTGGAATTGCTGTGTGGCCAAGGCTGACTTCTAGCTTCTGATCTTTCTGCCTGCACACAGGACCTCAAGCATACCAGGCAAGCAATCTACAAGTGTGTTACACCACTAGGTCCCTTCGCTTTGGTTTACAGAACTTAAGTTAAATATTCAATTTAATACTTCACTTTGGAAATCTGAAACTATTTGAAGGACATGGAGGAAAGATTGTTTCTTTTTATATTTCATTAATGAAATAGAGGTGGAGATGTATTACATCAATTTATGTTTCTGAAATTTCAGTTTTGTTTTGTTTTAAATCAAAGCATGAACCATTAAAGATATTTTTTTCTTTTTCCTTCCTGGGGATGCATGATTAATAAAGAACCATTAAATAAAGATATCCCTAAATTTGATGCTCATTAAAACAATCTGACTGTCAAAAAGAAATTTTATTTGTGGGACTTGATAGTATTCATTCGGAAACACCATAGATTAATGAATAAATTACAAAGGAGGAAAATGACCAATCAGTTAAAGTCTATCACCTCCGTAAGTCTTTAATGATTAATGACCTAGAAATCCTAATTAATGAAGTAATAATAAATGCATGGGAATTACATTAACTGTTATTAACCAACAATTTTCTACTAATAATGTACAGTCTTTTTGAGGTGGATGTTACTGACTGGAAACAGCAGCTTAGCAGTTAAAGGTGCTTGTTCTTCAGGACCTGGGTTTAGTTCCTAGCACCTTCATGGCAGCTCACAACTAATTGCTGTAACTCCAGTCTGAGGGGATCCAATGCTTTCTTTTGGTCCCAGCGAGCACTAGGCACACAGAAACTGTGCATAGAAACAGACTGAGGAAAATACTCATACATGAAAAAACAAAAACCAAAAACATTGGGGTATTAGTAGTGAGAGCCAAGAGTTTAAGACAACTCTTTAAACATAATTCTTTTGTAATAGAAACTATTCAATCACCCTGAGAACAGCTCCTTATAAACAGAAATGGGAACTAATAACTGTTTACATTATGTTGCTGGTATATATTAACTGTCTTAATAGATAACTAATATGGAATCTTTCCTAGTACTACTTTCTTACGCTGGTTCTTCAGATAGCTTTAGAAAATTCAACATTTAGAAAAAAAATTAGCATGCCACAGAAAATACATAAAACACTGTTATGTTCATATTTTTCCTTTATACAAATATGAAATAGCAAATAACTTATATAAATCTATGTTTATTTTACTGATTTTAAATTTTCTTTCTTTCTTTTTTTTTTTTTTTTGGTTTTTCGAGACAGGGTTTCTCTGTGTAGCCCGGGCTGTCCTGGAACTCACTCTGTAGACCAGGCTGGCCTTGAACTCAGAAATCCGCCTGCCTCTGCCTCCCAAGTGCTGGGATTAAAGGAGGCGTGCGCCACCACCGCCCGGCTCTGATTTTAATTTTTAAAATGTATCTACCTACCCGTCTACGTTTTTTTATTTGCCAAACCTAGATTCTTCTTTCTTTTCTTATTCAACTGTCCTTTTGGTACAACTTCAAAGGTAAACACATCCTACCATTTATCTATTTTGTGTGAATTTACTTAACAACGGACTCTTAAAAACAGTATGACGGCTGACACGTTGTTCTTATCATCAGAAACTCATGATGGCCAGCTTCACATCAACTTCCCAGCTGCTTCGAGTTTGAGGTTTCCCTGATAGGCCTAACTCCAGTCTCCTGGGTAGTTTTGAAACTTGACTGCTTTTATCAAATTCTCACCAATATTTTCATAGAAATTTTTTCCCCTAATTTATGGGAGGGAAAACTGAAGGGTTAATAAGACTAACAAACAAAAGAAAAGAAAAAACCAAGTTGTCATTACTAACCTCACTACCGATCACATCAGTGATCGTTGTCTGTCTTCATGTAATAGGACAACCCTTACAACGTGAACCAAATCTTTGCTAGGTGTTCTGCTGATCCTCACAAACATTCTAGTTACCCACTTTCTAAATAAATGTAGTCTCCACACCTAAAATTAAACACGTTGCCTCTGCAACCCTAGATACCGTCTTGCACACTGCATTTTAAATCCATCTCTCTACATCCCTCACATATAAAATAATTATGGGATATGACGTTTAAAACTGTGGTCACAAGTACTTATTTTAAAGCCACCAAATATTTCAACTAAGTAATTTTGATTTTACAAATCCAACCAACTAACGTTAACATTAATTGTTAATGTTGTAAACGTCTCAAAACTCAAATGAAAGTGCTTTTTAAATATCAACCAAAGGTCTCCGACATCAACTTGTTCTCACTGTCTCATGTTCCAATCTAATTGCTTCAGTGGTAGTTCATATAGATCTCACTTTTATGTCTGACAATGCCTCTTAGTGTCAGCCATTTACTCTGTCGGAAAACATTTACCTTTTTGAGTTTCTCTCCTACTCAGGTCTTTTTCTTCTCCATAAAGACCTAACGATGAGAGTTCATCAAGAATTCAGTGGTAAACTCCTTAGTACACTACTCAGCCACATTAACTATTTTCTAGTAAAGAATTAAGACTAAGAACTCCATAGCACTCTTAAGTTTGATTTAACCTCTAAGTGGCCTGAATGGTATTAGGCAGTAGTCTATGAAGACTGGCCAAGCCCTAGGCCTAGGCCTATTTGAGAAAGACTTCTCCTACTCGCCCCTGCCCCCAGTATGCATCTTATCTATCCTCTGGTTTCAATTAGTACCTCTACACTAAGGAAAAGTCTAAGTGTGGCCTAAGCATTTCTTCTGAACCTGAAAACTCCAGGAGGTGTTCTAATGATACAAACTGGCATGCTTAAGCATAAAAGTAAACACCTTTCTCCTACACTCTGAATTCTTTCACATTTTTTCTACATCTTAGCCATGTGCTGCAAATATCTTAGACTGCAAACTCTGGAAACAAGGACTTATAATTCATTCATCTTATCATAGTGCTTCAAATGCTACCAGGTAAATAGAGTCCAACCATAATTTTATACTGAACAAATATGTGAATCTATTGGTGTTAGCCATAAATAATGTACTTGCAAAACATTAAGATACTTTCTCAAATACAGTGAATGCTGTTGAAAATGTTATATTTAACAATTAAAAATAACGAGGAAAAGAAATTCTTGAGGAGTCAAGGGTGAAGGAGGAAATTAAAAACAAACAAGCAAAACAATGCCCCCACACAGTTTTGAAATAATCAGAGGTTTCTGGACAGTCCTACTCAGGGAATAAAAACCTTGTTAACAAAACTTAAAATCTATTATTTTTAGCTGCATATTGCATGACACTTCATAATGTCAAAAAAAAAAACAAGTATACAATTTTTTTCAAATGTGTGTAATCTAGTTAAAAAAATAAAGAATTGTAAATGAATGACAAAGGGAGGCACTGTGATCTTTTTCTATTAAATTAGAAAAAATATTGATTTCTGTTTTACATAGCTTAATGTGCAGGCTAAAATATACCTGTAAATTAACCATATTATTAACTTAATTAATAATATAAAGGCAATCTAACGAGTTTATTAATCAGGAATGATCAAAAAAGAAACATACTTCTAGAAGCATACGCTGGATAAATTAAAGATAATGTCAAATATAACTAACCAAATGCAACACTTTTCGAAAGACTAAGATTTCTTACCATTAGGACAGTCTTTGAGGAGTCACCAGGGTATCTGAGACTGAATATTCCCAAAGCCCCCAAAAAGCAAAAGAAAGCAAAAGTGGCAAGATTTCGAACATCTAGAAATGATTCTATCAGTGGTATTGTTCCCATGGTCCAATCACAGCAGAGCTCTGAAGGATTCAATAGAAGCCAAGCATTCACAGGGAGGAGGTAGTTAAACGTAAGCTGTCGTGTAGGGGTTGGGCTTACAGCAGCTGGATTATCAAACCTGCATAAACACCAAAAAAAGATATTTAAACAAAACTTGTTTCCTCTTTGTTTCAGTTGAGGACTGAAACCACACACTGAATAAGAAGCCAACACTCTATTACTGAGCTACATCTTAGCCAGTCTTTATTTTGAGACAAGGTTATTGCTTATATAATTCATGCTAACTTTGAACACATGATCCTCCTGTCTTAGTTTTTCAAGTATGGCAGTTATGCATGCCTGTACTATGTAAATAGTAAGAACAGCTCTAATTTTCAATGTTGTTGGCTTTGTTTTAATTAATGGGGAGGGAGAGTGAATGAGGGCATGCACATGACAATCACACACATGGGGAGGGCAGAGGACCAGGACCACTTGTGGGACTCAGTTCTCTCTCCATCATGTGGGTTCTCCAAAACCAACCTCTGGTTCTAAGTTTTGGTAGCAAGTGCCTCTACCCACTGAGCAAGCAATACCAGATACCACCTTTTAAATACAAAGTTTATGTATTAAAATAGATAAGTAAAACATAAAATTACTTTATGTGCAATACAAGAATAAATACACTGGGGCTCAGCAGTTGAGAGCATTTGCTGCTCTGGCAGAGACCTAAGTTCAGTTCTCAGCGCCCACACTGGGCAGCTTACCACTGCCTGTAATTCCAACTCCAGGATATCTGCTTACCACTGCCTGTAATTCCAACTCCAGGATATCTAACATGTTCTTCTGGTCTCTGTTCTTACCTCTACACATGTGGTACATATATACACAGAATAAAAATGAATAATAAAAATAATATTATAGGTACCTTGGAATCGTGCTATTTAATTGAAAATCTAAATCAAACTGTCTACCCTAAATGAAATGTCTTTGAGAGAGCAATGGTATCCATGGGGAAATGTCTGAAGAGAAATTAGGTCAGCTGTTTTCAGTAATTATTGGAATGCTTCAAACTGACCTGTAGAAGTACTTTCACTAAATCATGACCTTCAAATTAAAAGTCATAAATAAACTGTATGAGATTCAGATTCATTTGTTGTATGGAAGCTTCCAGAATATCTAGTCATGTTGTTCTATACGCGTGAAGGTTTAGAGTTAAATACTAATGAAAATTATGGTTTCCAAGGAAAATTTGTCTTTGTCCTTTCATTACAAAGTTGCAGCATTTAGAGCTCTTGTCCTGCTTTGAAATGAAACTGAAAATAAAACTGCCAATACAAAGTAGTTAGCAGTGAGCCTACTAAGCATTTTGTGTTCCTATTTTTCTCCCAGTAAATACTAACATGATCATATCTAGTTTTCTCCAAACCATGATATAGTGAATACAAATTTAATTATTAGTCTACCTTTTGCAAATTAAGTATGTAAAAAATAAGCTTATTGCCTGGCAGTGGTGGTGCACGCCTTTAATCCCAGCACTTGGGAGACAGAGGCAGGTGGATTTCTGAGTTCGAGTCCAGCCTGGTCTACAGATTGAGTTCCAGGACAGCCAGGGCTATACAGAGAAACCCTGTCTCGAAAAAACAAAAAACAAAACAAAATAAAACAAAAAAAACAAAAAAAAAGTTTATTACAAAGGACTATGTTTATATATTTGGTGTTTTATCCTAATACTAAATTTAGATTACTAAATTTACATATAGTCCTTAGGAACCCAGTTAGTTGTTTTAAAATGAGGAAACGAATTAAGCATCAACTCCATCCTGTTTGAGTTGACTTACTCTGAGAAGTAGCAAATGGTTGAGAAAAAGTCATACTGCTTGAACAAGCCCTATCATTGAGAACTTTTATAGTTGACTATATATGAAAAGTAACATGGTTTCTGAGTCAGGTCTTGAACTGTAAAAGAAGTGAACTGAGCTTGAAGCTCTTTCTATTTAGAAGAAACACTGTTCATTGTTTTAAATTAATAGCTTAATTAGGATAATACTTGATTTAAAGAGCCAATGTTTAAACAAGCCAAATCATATTAAAATCAATTTCTCAGTGCCATACAATAAAATATAATTTATATACTTACATTTTAAATTAAAAATATTATATACAATACATATCAAATATATATTCTTATAACACATGTACACAGAATTTCTCAGAATGATTGATAAGGAGAGCAAAATTATTGGAACTAAGAGTACGGAAAATATAACTTAATCTATTTCTAATATCTACATAAGTTTAGTTGAGCACAGATAGAATCATATAAAAGATAAGCTGAAATTATTTCTTAAATTAAAAAAATGCTGAGAATAACTATTTACAGGAATATACTACAAGTGCTTTGACTTAGATAATAATCTGAATTTTTTCTAATCCATGCTTATAATACATTATGAATTTGAATAATTTTTTTCCAGTTAGTACTTGTAACATACTATCATGGACAACAAAGTCACTATGATGGTGTTTCCTCCCCCACCCCCCAATTATTCCATGTAACACTAGTTACTTAAAATTTACAGAAGATTATTTTAAATTTCATTTAATAATTTAACAGTGATAAAGTGGGAAAAAAGTTAACGTTACATACAGCAGGCAACCATGGACTGCAGATTTTAAATTCTTAAGATAGTCACACTAGAGTGGGCACTATATCCAATGACTTAGTGCCCTTTACACGGGGAAGACAAACAGACACACAGGCAAGGCTATATAAAGATGAGGCAAACTTGTGTGAGGAAGCTACACGTTGAGAAATGCCGAAGAATGCTAGCAGCTCCCATAAGCTAGGAGAAGGGCATGTTGTTTCAGGCCATCTAGTTTGCAGTTATTTGCTATAGCTCTTACAGTGAGACTAATAGTCAGGAAAGAATGTCCTGAAGAAAAGAATCAAGAGATAAAATCTACTAATAAAAAATACCTGGGGTTGCTATGAACCCATAGCGGCCATTCCCATTCAAACCACCACAGAGGTCTCTGTGGTAACTGCCATCTATTGCAAGGAGACATTTCTTTGATTAGGGCTGAGAGATGGTCTATCCCATTCTTTTATCCATTCTAAACACTTATCATTTTTACAGGCATTTTAGAATCACTTGTCAATATCTCAAAAACAGCTCTTAGGATTCTGACTGGTACAGTATTCAATCTATGGTTAACTTACATAGAAGTATCACTCTAACACTATCAAGATCCTTATTATATATTATTTATGACTTCTTCATTTCCCTCATTAATGATTCCTAAGTTGTCAGCATAGGAATACTACATACACTTCATTAATTTCCTTGATTCCAAGTATTCTGTGTTTTCTGATAGATTCATATGTAGAACTGACTTCCTTTTTCCCCTCTATTAATTTATTTACTCACTTTATAGGCTAATTGGAGCCCTCCTTCCCCTCCTCTCAATCTATCCTTACATCCCTTTCCCTCCATCTCCCCTTTTCTTTCCAGTTCTTTTTGCCTCAAGCTTGTGGATCAGATGTAACCTCTCATAAACTCCTCCAGTATCACCCCTAGCTGCCTGCGACCATACTCCCCAAATGCTTTCCCTTGTAAGTTTCTGTGGTGGTTTGAATAAGAATGGGCCCCATAGGCTCATGTAATCGAATGCTTAGTCATCGGAGATTGGAACTGTTTGAGGAAGGTTAGGATGTGTGTGTCTTATTGGAGAAAGTGTGTCATTGGGGATGGGCTTTGAAGTTTCAAAAGTTCATGCTAGGCCCAATGTTTTTCTCTCTGCCTGCTGCCTGCAGATCAGGATGTAAAGCTACAAGCTAATTCCCCAGCACCATGACTGTCTGCTTCCTGCCACGATGTTTATGGACTAACCCTATAAAATGGTAAGCAAACCTCCAATTAAATGATTTCCTATATAAAAAAAAAACAACAACAAAAAACAACTTTGGGGGATAGTTACCTTGACAGTTGGCTAGAAATTTTCAGCTTAGTTCCATGGCCACAAAGGTCTTGTGAAACAAAATAATTCCTAGATTAAGGCTTACCGTGGTTCCACAAATAAAATTTAAAAGCAAAAATTAAAAGATAACACAACTTTAACTAACAGAAAAATACCTAGAACAAACCTCAGAAGTATGTATGGGAATACAATAGGATACTCTTGATATTTTGCATCCATTCAGAATTACCAAGTGTATGAAGAATGCATGTAACTCATAAGGAGAAGAAAATTTACACAAGACAAACTAACCAAAAAGAATCATGATAGAGTGTACAATTAGAGACCACAGAATACAACAGAACATGTAGAAATGTGGAGACATAAGAAAAGCATGTCTGAGTGCACCCCTGTGCAGAAGAGCACATCTAAGAGGAAGATAAAACAAATATATCATTTCTTAAAATTCTGAGGCAGTCTATAAAAGCAATGCATGCTGGATGATAGTAAAATCAACTTTAAGGAACAGCTGAGATAATGTTTTCTGCTGAAAAAATTATTTTCCAAAACCAGAAGTAATGTAAAGATATTTTTAGAAACAAAAGTTGAAGGAATTTGTTGCTGATAGACCAAGGCATGTCAAAATCCTTCAAGAAGTATTAATGGCACAATCTGAAAATGCTGATGACAATGAAATAAAAAACACTGAAACTAATACCATAACTTAATATAAAAATTTCATCTTTTACTTGTCCAAGCCAAAATGTATATCCAAGAAAGTCGTATGAACTTGCACAGAGGGTGGCTCTTTAGAAGTCAGACACAGAGCATAGATAAGACAAAGAGAAAAAAAACAACACTGTAGGTTATATCACATATATCAATAATTACATTAAAAGTGAATGGATAAAACACCAATTTAGAAGATCTGAAAAGACAAGAAGAACATCCAATTTTATATACTCTTTAAGAAACCCTCCATAGTCAGGCAGAGAGAGGTAAAAGTAAAATGCTAGAGAATAAGAGATATTATGTCACACTAAAAAGACTACATTGGACAGACTACATTAATAGAAAACAGCTAACTTCTGAAATGACAATTACCAGGAATTAAAAAAAAGTCCATTTCATGTTATAAAGGGATAAATTCATCAATATGACAATCTTAAATGATTAATAACAGAGTTTTAAAAACACATGAATTTAAATTACTCGATATGCAAGGAGAAATATAAAAATCTGCCAGTCTAGTGAGAGGATTAAAAATTTTTCTCTCTCAATACTATTTGATAAAACACTACACTTACAAATCACTCAGAATATGAAGGCCACACTCATATAATCTTTGCGGTGGAGGTTTCACACATAACTAAGCATATATGCTAGAACAATCTATATATTTATAAACAGTATATGTAGCTTTTAAAGTATATTGATATCTCAGAAAAGCTGTTGAAAAATTAAGTATGCACTAAAGACTTTCTGGAACACTTGTGATGACTGACAATCAAGAATTTCATACCTTGTAAACACTGGAAGTTGTGACTGAATAACTTGGACTCTGACCACGACAAGTAGGAGAGTACTGAACATCAGGACAATGAGTTTGATTAGTGTCTGCAGCATAGAAAATGGAATGCCACCCTTCCCGCGGAGAAACTGTCCAGCAATGGTACACAGTAACGGCAAAGTGTACTAAAAGAGAAAATGGTCTGAGTAACAAACACCAATGCACATTTTAAGTAATGCAGCAATTCTAAACATGTAATTAAAACAAAGACTAACTTAAAAATAATGTAAAACAATTTGTAGACTTGATAAAGACTAATACCAATTCTGATCACTTTGGCAAATATGGAGCTCAACGATAATGGTATCACTGCATATCCACGAGTTGTCTAAAAACTTTAGTTCTTAAAACATGAAGGTGTCATAACATTTTAATTATTTTTTTGTGGGTAAGAGGACAAAATACACTTGTTTCTTATAAATTATGTTTTCATTATAGTAAGCAGAGTGTTTATATGTATGACATATGTAGAAAATAAGAGTATTAAAATCTGACTTAGGTAGACAAAAGAGAAAATTCAAATCTTCATTTTCCTTACCCCTTGGGCCACAAATACTTCATACACACAACAAATGCCAACAACTGTTATTCCTTGTTCTTTACACAATGTTGCAACAGCCACTAGGAGCACTGTCAGTACAATCGGGGGCCACACTACAAGTTAAGAATAGAAAATAAAAGATCTATGCAAATTGTTATCATGTGAAAAAAGTATATTTTAAATTCTTCTTAAAGCTATCAATAGTTTCTATTTCTTATTGACCAGTACTTTATATTTGATGATACATTTAAATTATATACCTTTAATATTATATTGTCAAAACATGATATTAAGATGCATAACTTAAACCACAGAGTTTTGTGGAGATGAAAATTATCTATGCTCATTCTAACTTTCATAATACAGGTTAAATTTAGATAAATTAACAGGGATGATTAGTGACTAATCAACCAGAAACAAAGACAAATATCTGAAATTATACAGGTATTAGAAAGGATTTAGAAGAGAACACTTCCAGGGTTGACGGCAGGAACTTAAAGAAAATGGTATACAAGTTCCTTAAAATTAGTAGCAGGATTAACATTTTAACTAAACAATCCTACTCCTGCCTAGCAGAAAACGAAAACCAGTATGCCTAGGAGACAGTACATTCTCTCGTTACTATATTATTACTCACAAAAGTAAGCGAATTGTAGTATCATCTGATTAGGGTATCAAGAAAATGTTTACATACACAGACACTATTTAAAATACACAAATTAAACCTTAGAATTTGCAAGAACACAGATGAAACTGGAGGCAAATATTACATCTTAGTCATATGAGGAATCTAAAGAGTTGATCTCATGCAGTTGTGAATACAGTGGTGGTTGTGAGAAGCTGGAATGACAGGAGGGAAGAGGAAGATGGGGGACGGCTGGCTGACTAAGTACTAAGTTATGACTAGACAGCAGTAAGCAGTTCTGATGTGATATTGTCCAGTAGGGTAATTATTAATAATAATGTGTACTATGTTTCAAAAAAATATAAGGAACTTTGAAAATTTTTCCACAAAGAAGTTACATTTAAGAAGACAGATATTTTTAATTTTATTATATTATGTATGCATACATTTCTGTATCATATCAGACTCTATAAATATGTATTCCTTTTATGTGTTAGATGTCTTTTTCTTGAGATATGTAGCCATGCTGGCTTCCAACTCACTCCACCGTCTTTACTGAGGAGAACCTTAAACTTCTGATTCTGCCCCTCCCCTCCCAAGTGCTGGGACTGCAGGTGTATGCCACCACATTTAGCTCTAGGCAGTGCAGGGACTGAACCCAGTGACTAGAAAACACTGAGCAAGCACTCTACCAACTAAGCTACACCTCCAGTTCCCAGTAAGCTCAGTTAGAGATACATTCATCTTCACAGTACCTTGATATTCTACATTGAGATGCTACCACCAAAAGGAAGTGGGGATAAACCTGGAGTTTAATACTGACCAAATATAGGTTAAGACTATATAGAGAGCCTTTTTTCTGACCACTATGCCCACACTATTAGGGGGAAAATGGTGCAGCAATATGTAAAATCTATTTTAGAGGAAGCTACATGATAGAGGCTCAATAAATATTTAACTGTGAGGACACATAATAAAAGTGAAATTCTAACAGGCTTCAAACTTTGCCTAAGTGGAATCATGGGCCACTAGCTATTATTTATCAAACACAACCAAAGGGCTGGGCAGTGGCTGAATAGGGAACGCACTTGCTGTGTAAGTGAGAGGGCCTTAGTTCAAACCCACATTTAAATCTGATTATAGAGAACACATCCTGCTGGGTAATGACAAAAATATAAATTACATATAATTTTTAAGAATATTGGCAATGTCACAAGTCAATTACATTCTGGCAAAACAATAAAAGCAAACTCCAAATGTTATCTTAATAGAGAAGCACTTAAAAGAAATAGAATTATTTGATCAAGTTTCATAACTACAATAAGAGACACTGGGTAGATACGTACCTATGGAATTATCTGGTCCTTTTGATTTAGTATATGACAGAAATGCGGCTAGGAAAAAGACAGATGATAAGAGTTCAGCTCTTCCTACAACACCTGTAACCTGGAAAAAAAAAATGACAGGACATTCTTTTTAATGCAGTGTCCTGAAAACCTATTAAGTATAATAATAAAAGGAGAATACCTTCATAGAGGCAGGGGAGTGGGGATAGGATGGAGGTTTCTGGAGGGGAAACTGGGTAAAGGGATAACATTTGAAATGTAAATAAAGAAAATACCCAATCAAATCAGATCAAATTAAAAGGAACATTTAACCACTGTAATCTTGGACCAAAAAACATAAGCTTTCTCTGTGTTAATAAAATAAAATCAATAATTTTTTATCTTAAAATTTTTAAGAAAAAGGAAAACGCAAATAAATTCTTTCCAAAGCAGAAATAAGCTGGAAACTCTGAAAGTTGTGGAGGCCACAGCTGATAAACTCCACCAAAAACGCATGTCCTTTCCTTGGAAACAGCTCACTATAATTATATGATCTCCCTGTTTTATTAATAAACGGTGTATGCTTGTGCTATTAAAAAACAAAAACCATAAAACCTACATTTTTAAAGAGATTTCTGGTTTTTTTTTTGTTCGCCCTTTGTTTTTTTCTTAAAGGACAAGAGCGCCCTCATGTGGTAAACTTAGGTATTCATAAATGAAAACCTATCAATGATTTTTGTAAACAAGTCATTTTAACTTTGCAAAAAAAATAGGTTCTGTGTATTCTTTATCATCTTTCATATAATTATAACATCTTATGTAATTACAATACAGTAAGTTCTTTAAAAATTTTACTATCCCTGCATTGTTTTCTTAAAATTAGTGTTTTTTTTTAATATGAAGCAACTAAAAATTTGCTAATGTGCAAACCAAAGAAATTTTAAAAGCTCTTTTAATCAAAAGAACACAAAATTACAAAAGCTTGTCTTTTAAAGCAACGGAATACAATGTACAAGTTAAAGCAATTTATCTCTTTTATATATGAATGGCAAAACTCAGCTAGACACCACATAGTTCCAGCGTGGCAAGAGAGATATAATCATTCTGCAAACTCAAACATCTTTTGTTTAGGAAAAAAAGCTTCTAAGAAAGCAATGAAACCCCTGACTCTTAAACAAGCAAAGAAAGAATGAAACAGAGTGTTCTTAGTTCTTCCCCAGAGAAGCCTTTTCAGAACATCATTGTATCCAAGAAAAATTAGGTTGTATATATCATCATACAAAAACTATGTTCATTTGTACTTTTCATTAATAACATAAAAAAGAATATATTTATATCTCTCTATCTATCTATCTATACACACACACACACACACACACAAATGTATATGGGTATACATGCAATCTCTATATATGTTTTTTCTGTGTATGCTTGTCAGAATATGTGCAAGAGCGTGTGTATGTGTGTATGTGTGTGGTTGGACGTTTCCTTCCATTGCTCTCCATTTAACTTCCTTTTTTTTTTTAAAGATTTATTTATTTTATGTATGTGAGTACACTGTTGCTGTCTTCAGACACACCAGATGAGGGCATCGGATCCCATTACAGATGGTTGTGAGCCACCATGTGATTGCTAGGAATTGAACTCAGGACATCAGAAAAAGCAGAAGGTGCTCTTAAACACTGAGCCATCTCTCCACCCCTTAACTTCCTTTTTAAAGATTTATTTTATACATATAAGTGCTCACATGTATTAAGTGTACTGTGTATGCCTAGTGCTTGAAGTGGCCAAAGGAGGGCACTACATCTTCTAGATCTGGAATTACTGAATGTTTAAGCTACTATGTGGCTAAGAACGAAACCTGAGTCTTCTGCAAAAGCAACAACTGCTCTTAAACGCTGGACCATCTTTCCAGTCCCTTTACATTGTTTTTTGAAGAAAAGTTCTCTCAATAAACCCCAAACTCAGGCATCATCCAGATCAAGCCAGGGGTCCTCTCGACTCTACCTCACACTGTGGGATTACACGTGTCTGCTACCACACGTGGCTTTTTACACGGGTGTTAGCGATACAAGCTCAAGTGCGCATGCTGGTGAGGCGATCACTTTACCTATACATGCATTCTTCAACAGCACTATATTCAAAAACTACTTTACCTGGAAAGTTTGTATATAATAGGTAAGCTGGACTTCGTGCATGGGAGAGTAAGACTAGTAAATTAGGAATACTTAATGCTTAAGATGTAAAAAGTGACGGCGCAGCTGTACTTACTGCCTCTGTGTGGATTGGGTGCACTGCAAAGAGCAGAGCAGCAATCACACTGCTCCTCTTATCCAGAAAAAGTCTGCAGACCTTAAGAAAGATCACACTGACGACGGCATGGAACACTGTGTTCAGGAGGTGGTAAGACATGGGTTTTAGCTCACTGAGGAGATAATTTAAGCGAAATGTCAACACTGTTAAAGGCCTGTAGGACTTATGGCTTCTCTCCTGAAAGGAAAAACAACCAACCATTGATTATTAAAATACCTTCGCTCTTCTGGCTAGTCGTTAGTTTATTAAGATAATGATTAAAGAGTTACACAAACAACAAATTGTGCTCATCACTAGAGGGAGTGAGGCATGAAAACCTTCTAGACTGGGGTGTGCGTATGGGGGGGACATTTACGACATTTCTTACTTATAATTAATGGCTGAGATTCAGACTGCGGAGAAGTACACATTGAGTTTCAAACCATTTTACTCCAAAGCGACCTGACAGGCACTGCAGATAAATACCTCAAGGTATCATCCATCTTTATAGCCAGGGAAATATTTTACCATCTAACAGTTATAGTTTATTTCACATAGCTAATGAATGACAGATCTAGCATCAGAATCCAGTCTATATGATTCCCAGTGAAAAGGGTTTAATCCCAAATAAGTTAACGCTGACCTTCAAAATAATTTTAAGTCAACATTTTCTTACTGCAGACAAATAGGCAGTATGTAGTCAACTTTAAAATTTAATCTACTTATATTAAATTTACCATGTTTTAATGGTTACATTAAAACAATTCTGTTGCCTGACTCAAAGCAAAGGAAAATGGCAAGAGACTTTCAAAGTTAACACTTGTTGCTCTTCCTCCACATACATATATTATTCTCATACATAGACATTATCTTTAAAAAGTTAAGTCAAGGCACATGCCCAATGAAACGAATCCTGCTTTTATGATAACGGAGTTATAGGACACAATCATATTCATAGCTGCATTGGTTTTTAGTAGGAAAGTAATTATTTTTTTTCAAACACCTGAAAAAAATCTGGCCAGTGATTTTTTTAAAGCCCTCAATATTTGTATTCCCTATAGTGAATCTTCAACAATCTTCTTGAAGTTTGTACTGGATATCAGGGATATAGTAGAATTTAATAGATAAATGGTTAATTATTTATTAAAGATCTATCTAAATATACTGACTTAAGTGATAAATATTAAACTATATTTGTTTTTTAAAGGTAAGTAAATTATACCTATAATTTGAGTTCTATTAAAAATTATTTTATATAAAAAAGTAATTATTTACCTCAGACATAGGAGTTCCCCAGAAGTCATTCTGAAATAAAGTTTTTAAAGGTGTAGATGGATGCAGGTCTTTATTATCCAGTATTGCTGAAACATCATCAAAAACAAACCCACAGAACAGACTGTTCCAGTAGCAGGCAGCAACCACACTGACTATCAAAGTCACTTCTTTGAAGTTAATATCACCCATCTTTCCTTCAAGCATCGATCAGCCAAACTAGAAAACATTCAAGATAAAAATGAAATAACCAAGATTTTCCTCCAAATAATTACAACACTAGTGTTAAATAATATTTAGAATAAAGACTGTATAGTAACACTCGCAGAGAAAGGATCAGCTTAAATGCCACATACTTTTACAATTAACTCATATTTCTAAATCAAACTATTTCTTTTATACCACTTAATCTTTGTACCTCTTTCTCTAGCTAATCAGACAGTGTAAGTCCCACCAGCTGTCACTGGCTAGGCTCACTGGGAAGCAGACACATAGGACACCTTGTGGGAGAACCTCTACACCGAGTATGAGATTTTCAAGACTAACGGAGCTTTTATTTCAATATTTCATATATTTAAAAGTCAACTTCAGCCAGACCTTCTCTAGTTTTGTGTAGTTTTGTTGAAAGCTTTGTAAAGTCTTTCTCGAGTCTTTGCAGTTTGAGCGTATATGAGCACCCAGATTAGGTGTATTACCTAATCCTAATATTTCTTACTATCGTATTTATTTCTTTGAAAAAGCCAATTTGTCCCTTTGGTTATATGAGTCTGTGACCTGGATAGAAGTCATTTCTTTGGCCCACTGTACTGAATGGTTTTAGTTTAGAATCTAAGTGTCATAAATGACAATCCTTCTCTGAAGAAGAACAGAACATGGGAGGCACTGCTTTAGAAAATACTGAGTTAGGGAATGGTGCAGTGAAGAAAGACCTCTACTAACTGGAAAATAGAGAAAAGGAAAATTAGCTACACAACAAAGCGAAAATTATTTAAAACAAAACTAAACCAAGTCGGCCATTATCTGTTTTGATAGTGTCACTAGATCACTGAGTTATTATATTAGCACTTGTAAAATGCAGATTAATAAATAGTTCCTAACAACTGTTACTATCCACATACCACATCTTTGTCTATGATGTGTAGACAGCAAGTAACCTTAAAATTGTGACAGTTTTACCAGAGGAATCAACTGGGTAGGCCCAACACAACAGCAAAGTCCTTAAGAGTGAAAGAAAGAAGCAGACAAACCAAAGGCCAGAAGGAAGATTTCTAAGTCTGGGGACCATAAGCCAAAAATGACAGCAGCCCCTGCTAGGTTGGAAAAGGCAAATAAAAAAATCAAATTCAGAATCCTTCTCAGCACATCTAAAACAAGTACTGACACTGTGGGTGTATCTAGATAGAATCATTTTGCACTTTTGATTTCAAATTGGTAAGAAAATGAGTTTAGCTGAATCTGCTATGTCTGTGGCAAAGTCTTGAATGGCACTAATGTAGCATTCGCAGGCAAGGTTTGAGATCTGAGTCTGTCTGGAGGACTTCTGTTTCCACAAAGGAATGAGAAATAAACTTAAAATTACAGTTAGCAATAAAATAGCTAACATGAGTACAGATTTATATATAATCCAATGTAAAACACAAAGCATATACTTAAACTACATATGTGATACACAACTTGTGAAAGCATAAACGTACTTCTATAACCATTAAATGTCTTTCACTTAAAGAAAACTTAAAATTCAGACCAATAAAGGACAGGGACATAGCTATCAAATTTCCTCTAGGAAATGAGCTTTCAAGTAAAAAAAAAAATAATTTAAAGCTTCATCTTGACTCGGGAAGTAACTTCCCATCTCTGAAGGGTATTGAGTTGCGTGATTCACACACCCCAAAAGCTGACGTTGTTTCTAATTAAAAGGCTGAATTCAACTAACATTTTAGTTCTCGCCAAATTGGACAACAGAATATGAGGCATTTTTGCTATGGGGAGTATATAAGTACATAAGTATAAGGAACTGCATAGGCAATAGCTAATTCTGGAAGCTAGAGAAGTGAAAGGGTCAGTCAGTTAATTAGTGGAGCACTAGGAAGTGAGTTCTAAGCTGAAAGAGAAGCTGGAACATTTTGCTCCTAGCACACCCCATAATAGCAATCAGAAAATCAAGCCTCAAGATTTTAGGAACCAACAGGACTAGGAGATGAATGAGTGAGTGTCTGGTCCCTCTTCCCCTCCTACCCCTAGGTAATGACTGGAACTTCCTTTTTGAGAGTATTAGAACACAGGGTCTCTTACATAGGCTACACAGCAATGGGCGAAGATTACTGTAACTGGGGGTTAAATAAGTTTGTCGACATAATTTACGCTAAGACCTTCTAGTTCCCCTCTCTATTACTGGAGACAGTTTTCTCCAATTTTACACCACTGGAAACGGGTGATTCTAACGGTTTACAAAAATAAAACAGGTTTCATGCTCCAAGCCAGAAATTAAAAAAAAAAAGGTCAACAATGGTACATTTTAGAATAAACACTCCACAATGTACAGAAAGGAGCAGAAAATTTTCTACAAGAAAATGAGATCCAAAATAAAATTCTCCATCCAGAAAACCGAATTACACGTATGGAAAAGCAGAATGGCGAAATTTTAAAGTTCAGTTTTAAGATGTTTATAACTGTCAGCCAATTACAGCAATACTAAATAAACAGTGTATACTATTAAACAAACAGGGAAATTGGAGAATTGAATCTAGTATGTGGTATTCAAATTTCTAAGAAAACAACTGAAGGGAAGGCTTTATTTTAGCGTACGGCTTCAGAAGCGTCAATGAACAGTCACTGCTCTGATGGCCGTGGGAGGACAGCTTGGCAAAAGAGCATCAGGAAAGACTAGAGAAGAGACAAAGAACGGATACAGGGGCAAGTCACGTCCTTCAAATGCACGCTGCTGGAGTCCCACATCCTGTCAGGCCCCACCCAACAAGTTTTCTACCTCTTAAGAGTCCACTTAGTTACGAACACATGGCTTATGTTATAGAATTTGTGATCCAATTACTTCTGAAAAGTTGCTCCTCTGAACACTACATTTGGGAACAAGTACTCAACACATGAAGCTTTGGGGGGCTTTTCACATCAAAGTTACAAAACAATGTAAAGCAATGACAAAGGAAAGACCCAGAATGACAACCACAGCATGTCAGAAAGTTTCTAAATGATGATCCCAAGACAATAGAATACCCAGTACATTTAAACAGAAGAACCAGTGTTATATAAGTTGTACATACACACACACACACACACACACACACACACACACACACACACACACACACAAACAGCTTGTAAGTCAGGAAATCAACTCACACATCCATTATGAGGTAGATTTAAAAAACAAGTGTTATATAAGGTTGGAAACCTCTCTCATAGTCTAAGGCTTCAGATCTGCTAAGACCAATCTACTTACGATGAAATGTGTTCTTTGATTAAAGGTTTTAATGACACATTTAATTAATAGAAGATAATCTGACATATTGGAAATTGACAAGCTAGTTTCATAATTATAACTTAAAATAGAATATCTGTAATAATGTGCAATATAAAATATTAAGCTCACTAACTTATATATGAATTATAGAAACCCTTGAGTTGATAGTTTTGAGTTTAATTTACTAGCTTTATGAATGTTAGTGAAGTTGTCATACATACATAGCTTTGCGATCAAAGGAATACAATCTGAACAGTGGACCTTTCGGATTAAACAGCCTAGTGTATTAGCTATTATAGCTTATGTGAATACACTCTAGAACGATCATACAATGACACTGGTTAATGATACACCTTTAGGAATACATTCTCATCATTAAATGACATATAATTACAATGCCAATGTTTGGCTTAAATTGGGCATCTCATTTAAGTACTTATCAAAGATGGATACATCCACATTATGAATGTAGTTTTAAATTAAATCATTTAACTAAGGTTTTCTTTTTATGGGTGATTTTTATTATTTTTTATTAACGTTGTTGTCTTCGTTTCATGTATATAATATTTTAATTACTCTGACTTTCAGTCTATCTCCCTTTTAACCCTCTTAGCTCTTCCTCCTCCTTAAAAATCCTGTCACACATTTGTCTTTTTCTTTTAAAGAACAAACAAACATAGATTGATTCGGAACAAGTGGGAAAGAACTATGAAGAACAGGGAAGGCTCCAAGGAAGAAAATCCCCAAATTTCAAATGCTGCCAATTAGTTGTTTTTTTAAACATGTAAAAAAATGTAATTAAAAATGTAAACTAAATTAAAAGTGACCTTTTATAATATAAAAAGTAGGAGTTTTAGGTTTTAAATGTCAAAGTGTTACTTTAATAAAGTTGGATAGACCCATTGCATCTATATAGTTAGGTATGATTACAAGAATTATTGTACTGCGAGGGGGGTGGAGTGAAGGCGTCAAGGGATCAGATACCACAAGAAACCATACAGAATAAGCTAACCTGGACCCAGAGGGGCTTACAGAGACTTAACTGACAACCAGACAGCGGCATGGGAGGGACCTAGGCCCTCTGCACATAACAGTTGTGTAGCTGGGTCTTCATGTGGGACTCCTAACAGTGGGAGCAGGGACCGTCTCTGACTACATTGCCTGCCTTCAGATCTCTTTCCCCTAACTGGGCTGCCTTGTCCAGCTTCAACAGAAGTGCCCAGTCTTACTGCAATTTGATATGCCAAGGCTGGTTGATACCCATGGGAGGCCTCTCCTTTTCTGAGGAGAAGGGGATGGAGGTATGGGAATGTGAAGTGAGTGGGAGAGACTAGGAGGAGAGGAAGAATGTAAAGTAAATAAATGCCAATAAAAAATTACAGTACTTTTAAACTACAGAAGTTCAATTCAGTAAGCATAATGCTCAGTTCTAATGTTATCATTAAAACTCTGAACTTCATTGAACTTTGAGAACTGTACTCCTCCCTAGGCTTAGGCTCACTAAAGATGAGATATGATCTGTCTTCTGTCGTGGATAAATAGTACCTCATGTTCTTATTAGGCAGACACACATGGTGTTTTGTTTTATCCCTGATGTCAGGTAGAATAAAGAGACAAGAACAATAAGCTGTTATATTCAGCCCTCACTTGACTGTTATATTCAAACCCTCATGGATGTTTGAGGGTTCTCTGGAGCACAAAACCCCATATAAGGGCAGGGAATGTAGTTCAGTGGTAGTGTTTGGTTAACATACAGTATTCTTCATGTATGTAAATGTTCGCGCACACTTGCATGCACGTGTGTGTGTGTGTGTGTGTGTGTGTGTGTGTGTATGTTTGTGCATATACGTTAGAGGTCTTATTATGTATGTAGCCCAGCCTATTTAACTCGGGACCTGGGAGAATTAGTCCTAGTACAAACCCTGAGTGCAGTTACAGCTTTGTTGAAGGTTTCCACCAGTGTAGATCTGGAGGAAAGTGCCTACACAGTATTCCTTCCTCACTAGAAGATTCATTGTGGGCATTAGCGTATTTACACATGCATGTAGTATAAGCGATCAGGATGCCCTACTTGTCTGTTTACAAAAAAAAGAGATCTCAGCAAATATGTACACAAAATCCAACTGTAATCAAAGGTCACTAAGGACCTATATTATAGATTTAGATTCATTTCGTTCAAAATTAAGTGCTTTTTGGGTTAAAAATCTAGTGATATACTTGCGGAAAGACATAGCTATAGGACAAAGCTGTAACTCTGGGGGATCTTTAACCAAGGGAAGTCCTTCCTGTTCTGTTTCCCGAGAAATCAACAAAGTCATTTAGACCTTCTCTATAACATTCTCTATTTATTATTATCTTTTAAGGCCTATAGAACTGTGGCATGGGAAGTCTATATCCACGCTGAATCATTCTTATCTGTCTAGCCTCCTAATGCTAAAGAGAGGCAAGTATCTGCTTGTTATGCATACATTCCTCTACCTGAACATGAAAGTTCAACTTTACATCAGTTAATACATTTTTTATGGTCATACAATATTTTAAAAACTAGAGCAGTAAGATTCATGGGAAATCAGCAAAAGATAGGTAATGAATTTAAGTCCTTTGGTACAGAGAACAGAGGCAACAATTACAAAAGGCAAGGCTTCATCACAAAGTGATTTTGGATAAAACGCTTCATACAAGCCCAGGTTAGATAGAACACAGGTCCCGGCAAGTGTTCCTGAAACAAGGCTATTTATAGAACTGTCACATAAAAACTAGCTCTTGGAAAAATTTGAAAAATGGGAGAAATTCTGATGAAAAACTGTTTTAGTCATTTGAAAATTTTATAGCAACTTGCAGAACCAGACTTCAGTTAGATGTCCTGACACAAAGGTAAGTACAATATGAAGACCTGGACCATAATATAATTTGTTTCCTGCTGTTCTCTTAGGCCAAGAAAAGTGTATTAGCTCAAAAATACTGTTACGATAAGTTACAGACTGGAATTTAATAAAGATTATACTTTAAGTTGTGACTGTCACTGAGATGTACAATCTTGGCTTCATCAGTTACTATTAAATGACTTCTTTGAAATTCTCCCTTCTGAAGAGAATACAATTTATTACTTGAAGATATTATAAACATGAACAAGAAAAAGAAATAGGGGTGGAGAGACCAATACAAACACACAAAAACAGTAAATGAGTAATTGAAAATATGTATTAAAATCATAGAAAAAAATATCAAAGTGTCATGACTAAAAACAGCAAATTCATAATATAATATACTAGTGAACATATTACATGTGTTCAATAAATACTGTTTTCATTACTTAGTATTTTTGACAAAATGAATAGGAAAAACAATTCATACTCTTGAGTAAATGAAGCTATAAAATTGAAACGTGCAAAATACAAGTAAAATTTTGTATTGGCGTTTAAAACAGTAAGAGGGAAGTGAAACTATCTCATGCATTTCCCAAGCATTAGTTTGTAAAATGAATGAACGTGGTGTTCATCACATTAAATGAGAAAACAGTGTTTATCCTCTCTAGGTTCCAAACTCTTAGATGGACAATGAGGACAATTTAAGTGCTCGTTTTGCTGGATCTCTATCAAGAATAAATCCAAAACTGAACAGTATTTGGAAAAAAAAAAGCAAACATGGTAATCAGGCCTACAAATCTGATGAATGTCTTTAAAATTTGTTTCAAATACCATTTTTTTTGCGCTATTTGTTTTTCTCAACCACAGAAAGTTTTTCAAAAGAAAACTTTAACTGTCTACATTTTTCTTTTAATTACTTAATATCTATTATGTACGGCAGTACAATTACTTTATATATCCATGTATACATACATACATACATACATACGCACATATGAGACGCACTCTTACAAATAGAAGCTTACAGCTCCTAAAGTTACCTGCTGGTGTAGAATAGCTGTGGAATTGGCAAAAGTTCCCTGCGCAAGAAGGTAAACATCTGAGGAGGCGCTTTCACCCAAGAACACCCCTTGGTACCCAGCAAATGACAGCAAAATGCCAGCGCTTGGCATAGCCCTCCTCCCTCCCTCCAGCAGGGCTAGCCGCGCACTAAGCCTCCTCTTTCTTCGGCCTCCACTCCACTCTTATTAACCTAATAAGCACTTCAACCCGCAAGCTGCTGCAGGAGACTGCCCCATCCTGATGCTCCTCCACTCAGCCAGAGCATGAACTCAGGGGGTGGGGGTGGGGGCGCTCCACTTTCCCAGACACCTAGGAAGCTGGAAACTTTTATTTACTCCCTTCTCACGGAAGCCACGAACTGGGAGCCCCTAGCACACACCTGAGTAGCTGGAGGACTCTTTCCCACCTCGGCAAGATCCGCCGGCCCTTCCGCAGCCCCAATCTAGAGCTTCCCTAAAACGCAAATGTTCCTTGAGCTCCTCCCGGTTGCAGACTGACCCGCCCCGACCTCACCTGAGGGCGGTTCCGCCAAGAGATGGTTCAGGAAAGCTTCTGAGTCGGTGGACCGGAGAGGGACTCTGCAGAAGACACTGTCATAGTCCGCCACTCTCAGGCTCCGGGGCGGCCGCACCTTAGCTGCCGCTACTCCTGCCTCCCGATCCTTCCCCAGCTCTTCCAGGGCGGCCGCTGCCTCTCGCATTGCACGCCGGGAACGCGGTGCTCTTCCCAAAGACTTCTAATCCCAGTATGCACAGCCGCAAGGCCGAACTGCACTCTGGGATGCAGAGTCCTCTTCTCAAGGCTTTTCTTCATCCACAGTAAGACGGTCTTGGAGAGAGAAATATAGCCGTAAAGCTTTTCTCACCGTCGTGAAATGTAGTCTTCCCTGGTATCCGGGGCCTACTTCCGGCCTTGGCTGGCTGGGCGGGGAGTGGTGTCGCCTAGCAGCCGGCGCCGCTTCGGCACATTCGGGAAGAGTTGGCGGGAGCAGCCTGAGTGCGCGAGGACAGCTCTGGGAAGCGAGAGGCCGGGGCTGTGGCCGAACCCGGAGGTGGTCGCCGTAGATGAGTGACTGCTACTTTTTGCACGTCTTGGTTTAGGTGGGTGGATCCTCGGGAGTCGGAGCAGCTTAGTGTCGTTCACAGGTTCATAATCCTGAGGGACAACATGCAGCCTACCTACCCAGACCTTCTGTCGCTCTTGTCCGCAGTGCCTCGGTCTCCTTGATTGAGCTTGGTTCCGCACACACTTTATCTAGCTCAGTCTTTATTTTTCCACTTTAAAAATCCTCTGGTCCCCTTTTTCTCAAAATCGGAGGAGGTTTTCAAAAAACTTCCAAACATCTTGGGAGTTGGTCATCATTGATGGTACGGGACTTGGAAGAAGGGACTCGAGGTTTTAGCTCCAATTTCGTTTTAGCAAAGATAATAATTTAGCATGTACATTACCATATAGTCTGTGCTAGGTGAATTAATTCTCATCAAGGTTGTTTGCCTATGCATCTGTTTAGCGGTTCAGGAGCCATAGCTCTTAGCCAGCACCTAGAGAGTTAAGTTAGATCATGTAAACACTGCAATGCCATTTTCCTTGAAAATGCTAAAATCCACCTGCTTCGTTATAGGGACTGAGAGACGGTGAAAGAATTCAAGATGCCACCTAATATAAAATGGAAAGAATTAATCAAAGTTGATCCAGATGACCTGCCACGTCAGGAAGAGTTAGCAGATAAATTACTGATATCCTTATCCAAGGTACTTAGTGAATGATTTGTACACAGATCCTGATGTACAATATCGTGAATTGAAATTGCTTCATGAAGTAATTGAAAGCTATAACCAGAAGAGTGATGGTATTTTATGCACAGGGTATGAAATACTCCATTTTTTTTTCTTTCTCTAGGTGGAAGTAAATGAACTAAAAAATGAAGATCAAGAAAACATGATACATCTTTTCAGAATTACTCAGTCACTAATGAAGGTTTGTAGGAAAGAGTCTGTAGGAAAAGAAATATCTTTAAGAGTATCAAAGAAAAATAATCAGAGGGTCAAATAAAATGCAAAATGTCTCCCTTATAAGCTAATAATGAAATGATAAGAGGATTCTAGATTCCTCATAAATAAATACTGAGAAAGAATATGTACTTATTTGTTTCATTAAGGTAAAAGCACATAGAAAATTTGTAGGCTATAGACAAACAGATTTTGGGTTGGTAGTTTGGGATATACTGTCCAATCTAAGAGTTTGAGGGTATATTTTAGTTACCAGTACATTAGAAGCGAATAAAGGTTTTTGAATCTTAGTTGGCAGATACAGAAATGTGCTTATGAAGGCAAAATTAAATGTGTTGTATAGACTGAAGGGATGAGAGATTATTAGCTCCATTTATAAAAAGGAATTAATAAATTTATTAATAACAATTGGAATAGAAAAAAGATAATGAAAACATTTAAAATAGTAGATATAAAGTTTAATGGAAAATCTGAAATGATTCAAATTCTTGCCATTCTGGACTTTCTAGCCTTAAGTATTTAGTCAACAACTATTTACTGACTGTCTTTGTGTGCTAGTCATTGTACACACTAAAGACTGAGATAGCAAATTCAAATTCTTGCCATTCTGGACTTTCTAGCCTTAAGTATTTAGTCAACAACTATTTACTGACTGTCTTTGTGTGCTAGTCATTGTACACACTAAAGACTGAGATAGCAAATTCCACACAATTTCCATTCTCACAGTTTATATTACAGTGTAAATAATCCATATTTTCCCCCTCTCATTTTAATATTCAGATGAAAGCTCAAGAAGTAGAGCTAGCTTTGGAAGAAGTTGAAAAGGCTGGAGAAGAACAAGCAAAATTTGGTAAATGTCTTGGGAAAAAAAATTACTGTGGTTCCATTGTGTAGTAGACAGTACAGAACTTATCATATTCTAATAACATATATATTCAATTCATATTTAAAGATGCTACATCCTTGTACAGTTCCAGGGACTGACTTGAGTGCTGTGGTAGGGAGTAAAGAAAAGAAAACACATTGACACCCAGAACAGTTGGGTGGACCGGGCTCTCTGATGGAGAAACTGCCACATCCCAGAAGCTCAGTGTCTGTATTATATCCACGTGAACAGAGTAGTGGAGTTGGCACACAGCTGAACGTAAAGTCGGCTGAATGCATACAGATAAACAAGGAGACAGGGTTCCTGGTAGACAGTTGAATAGGGAGGCAGATCTGGTTAATCTCAGCAGGAGTAGTCTCTGTAGGGGAGCCATAAACATCAAGGGGAAGCAAGCTATGGTGGACATTTTCTGCACACTGTCAACATACACACTCAGGCTAGGAGGGAAGTCTTTGCCCATATCAGCAGTACACATTCACTCAGGACTTTACTCACTCAGGTCTTCCTCTGTTCTCTACATCAAGACATTTCTAGAATGCATCTTTTATGCATTTAGTATATGATAATTATTTTCCTTTACATTATATGATAAGAGGATGGAATCTTTTACAGAGAATTTTACTATATTATTGAAATTTACTTAAAATATGATGGCAGGAAATTTAACCAATTGAAACTTTTTTTAATAGAAAATCAATTAAAGACAAAAGTAATAAAACTGGAAAATGAACTGGAGGTATGTCCTTTTGTATTTCCTTGTTTTTGAATTTCCTTGTAGTTGTTATTAATTGCATTGTTTTAAGTTATATTCAAATTTTCATATTGGTTGAAAAATACAAGATTTCGTGCTCAAGAGTTTACTCATTATACAGATTGTGTTTTTGTAATTTGGGTTTTAAGAATTATACGTTAAATAAAATAAAAACGGTTAATATCTAAATGGAGCTGTCAGTCTAGAGAAGCATATAGTATGTTTAGTAGCCACTGAGGGGAGAGAATATGGGAAGATTCTGAAAAGCTAAGAGGGGCTGTAATGTGAAGGGCTTAGCCTTTAAAAGGTGGAACTAGGGAAAAGGAGAGAGGTCTAGAAGTTTTTATGCTTGTGAGTTTAGTTTTTAGAAGCTGAAATTGAGATGAGATCACCTGTGAGGTTTAACAATGTAAAACAGTGAGATTAAGATAACCTTTGAGACATGGTAGACAGAGGGCTGAAGCCTGAGGGCTATGGACTCAGATGGGAGTTCTAGTCCTCAATTCTGTGACTTGACTAACTCTGTGCACATGGATGAGTTAGTTCACATTTCCGGCTAGATTTCAAGCTCCTTTTGTAGTAGCTGATGTCTGCAGTTGAACTGATCCTGTGCTAGGATTTAGGCAGACAGCTGGTAAAGAATAGAAGATTGTGGCAGTTCAAGGTCTCGGTCGGAACCTGTTTAAAGTATTGTGATGAAATCTTAGCTCAGTGGGGATGATGTCAAAACTGGAGTTGGGACAGGGGAAGTGTGAAGTCAAGGAGCAGGAACAGTCAAGGCCCATAGAGTTTATCAAAGGGAAAGTACCAGAGAACAGCTGAGGAAAATGTTTCTTTGGGCAGGATCTGTGATGACATAGGACTGAAGGAATGCAGTAAATCAAGAAACATGTTATTTTTAATCTGTCACTTAAAGCTACATAAAAAATAAATGGTGGAAGTCATCTGATTGTGGAAATTGCTCAGGTTGATTTTTGATAGAAGACTGAGTTGCCACATGCCCAGCTCCTCGGGACTTTTAAGACTGGGCAGGAAATTGGTTGTTTGCTGATGCCATGAGCATATTGGAGTGTTTAGGACAGCTAGATATCTTATAAAGTCAAACCGGGTGAACATATGGAGGAAGTCCCAAGATGGAGGAGCCCTAGGAGACCATTGTCATCTTTTCTCGATCTTGAAAGAATGAACAATTTCAAAAGAAATGAGTACTCTTCAAAGAACCTAATTACAGCTTTGTAAAAAATAAAGAAGACCTAGTTAAAAACCAATGCTCCGGATGTAAAATCTGTATTTTAGAAGAGATTGAGTAGCATCTGAATAAGAAGAGAGTAGCAGAAATGTGTGGGACGTGTTCCCCGTGAGGCACGCCTAGGGGACTAACGGCTCAAGGGTTGGGCCGTGGTCCAGTTGACAGGAATATGAAGGAAAATAAATGTAATTGTCTGGAAAGTTTTAAAGCGAATCTGTCTTGGCTTGCTTATAGAGGAGTACTAAACAGTTATAGTGCTTTACATTTGTGAAAACTGAAAATTAGCTGTTTGGTTACGTTTGATACAAGTCAAGTGTACACATGGCTCAGAACGAGCAATGACAGACACCACAGAGACTTTCTACTAGACTACAGAGCATTGTCTGTTCCAGCTAGCCTGTGGTATCAGGGAAAGAGCAGAACAAGAGGACCCAGCTGCTTTCAGTTTCAGTTCACAGCCTTTACAGTCTCTAAGCCTTTGTATTTTAGTCTGTACCTATGCTTAGTGACTGTGACAGAGCCTCTTGGTTCTTTTCGTGGTCGAGGAAAGCTCATGGATTGCTGATTTACCAATTAAAGCCTAAATAAGTTCAGAGTTTTTTGTTTGTTTGCTTGATTATATTTTTTATTATATGAATCAATTTTAAATTTACATATATTTTGATCATATTCTTCCCCTTCCTCAAGTCCTTCAGATCCTCTCCTCCCTACCCACCCAACTCTAAGTTCATTTTAAATGGTGTTTGCATGCTTATGCCTTAAAATATCTGGTATCTGAGAAGTTAAAGTGGAGTACTTGTTTA